AAAATGGCGTCGCAAAATTTAATTTGAAAACTTTCACTGCCAGGCGGCCAGGCCAGGCCAGGCGATGCCGCTGACCCACAACGACATCGACAACGACTTGCCAGATTTGTGAAAAATCCCCAGCTGAACGGGGCCAAAAGGCTCGCACATATACTGGGCGTGGAGCCAGTTCTGGTCAGCAGCTGCACACGAAGAAAATCATCTTAAATTATGATTGATGTGTCATAAACAAGGCCGTTATTATTGTTTAAAGAGACATTTTAAATGGAGATACATCCAGTCACTTAAGTAAGCTGTAAAATCAAAAATGTTTGTAATTATTTGTATTAATTATTAATTATTTAATGTAATTTAAGCGTCTCTAGTTAGTTTTTAGAGTGAATATGCCCCCAGTTTCCCTCTGTGTACTTCAGTTCACACTTGATATTAATAAGCCTGCAAAAGAATGTTGGGGAACATTTCATTTTGGGGCCCGCCAAGAAATATTTCGCCTAATTGAATCGCCTGGCGCGAACATTTGTTGCTCGACTTCGCTGGCGCCATGAATTCGCACACTTTGCGACACTCGCAACAAAAAGCATTTAGTCTTTAAATAATTTTTGGCCAGCTTTTTCTTTATGGTCCCTGTGCCGGGGGCATCTTAATTTCTACAGTTCTTCTCCGTTTCGTTCTCGAAACGAAAAGGAACGAAGTAATGCAAACAAAGAGCTCTCTCTGCAGAGCACCAGAGTTTTTTGGCTTTATTTGTCCCCAAAGATGGCGGCAACCGGAAGTGCACACACACACACGCACTCGCACTGGCACTGGCAGGGGCATAAAGGAGCGCTGGGGCAAAGTCAAAGGCTGAAACTAACAAAACATTCTGGCATTTCTAATTATAAGTAAATATTCATACTCACATATCCCAGCCAGCACGGGTCCGGAGTGGAGCACTTTAAAAGTTATTTACACACACATACACGCTCTCTGAATGGCGGAGGGGCAAGCATGTTAGGCAGCCCGTAATGCATGCTAAAAAGTGTGAGAAAGTACATTAGGGTCACTGACGACTTTGACTGCGCTACAAAAGGGCGTGGCGGGAGGCGTGACCCGGAGAAGAGGAGCAACACGAGCCGGAGCAATGGCAACCACTTTCGCTCTCAACTTGCTACATTTTGTGGCGAGTGTGTGTGTTTGCCATAATGTACAATTTAAATGTAAACAATTTGGCCCAACGCGGCAAAGGCAGCCGTGGCATAAAAACCAGAGACCGGGTCCTGATGCTCAGAGAATGGAAAGGCAAAGTCCGGCATGAGTCGGAATAAAATATTTAAGAAGCGGCAGGCAGGAGCAGCAGCATTGAACAGTTGCTCCATCCGTGCTCGTGTGTGTACATGGGGCCGGGCTTATGTAGCATCTGCTGCTGCTGCTGCTGCTGCTGCTGCTGCTGCTGCTACTGCCGCCGCTCTGAATAGTGAAACTCAAATATTTATCTTGGCAATTGCCTGTAATTTGGTTTAGTTCCGACTTGCCACCGTTCTAAATAAACTTTTCATTAGCAGCCATGAAAGCAGCTCAAACAGACGCACACTGCGAAAGGGCTAAGAACACAGTTAGCACGCATTTATGCTGAGCTCTCTCGCCCTGATTTCAGTTAATTAACTAACTTATATTTTGCGTAATTGACTTTTATGTGCGTTTGGCAAATGTTTCAATCAAACCCTAAAGCCGCACGGCCCATATGCAATGCGCAATTCACCAAGAAGACAAAGCCGCAACCGCAGGACAAACCGCACTGCGCATACAGTGCGTATGGGTAATGTGTAATGTGTCAACCCCGATGGCCCGATCCCAATAGCGCATTCCTTGCCATCCCCCAACACTTTCGCTTTAAATATCAATTGAATAGAACTATAGTATTTTTTATGCTGTTTTGCTTTTTGTAAAAACATACACAAATATTCGCACTTATTGAACGATTGCCAAATATTTTTTTCCGCTGTTTTCGTTACCATTGTTATTGGTTTAGCTGCTGTTTACAATGACACGGCACACTTAATGGGCACAGCCTGTGAGTCTAAGTTTATTTAGCGAAGCGCTCTGTTGATTTTCTATTATTGTTTTTGCAACACTTTCCGCTTGCCATGGGTTTATTTGGCCCAGAGTTCATTAAACTATTGGACGGCAGCCAGCATTCGCTTGAAATAAATGCCGCGAAAAAATCAATTAAATATATGTATGTGCGCTGTTGCTCTGTGTATTCATCTGAAAAAATCTTTAACGCAGCGAAAGAGGGTGTATCCTTAAAGAGCCGCAGAAGCCTCCAACCACTGCATTATTAATGCAACATTGTCTTGAGGCTGTGTCCTTGCGGGGATCCGAGGGCTCCTGCTCCTGCTCCAGCTCCTGCTTTTCTGCTGCCTCGCGGCCTAGCCAAATGGGGCACGAAAGGCTGCTGGGTGCTCTTGTTTTATGCATGCAAAGTTACACGCTGCGTATGCGCCATATCCACAGTAAACTTAAAGCTTTAAGGGTTTGGGGAAATGGAGGAAGCCGAAAATTAAATAAAATCTGCTTTATATGTGCGCCTCTGAAGAAAACGAAATTTCAGAATTTTAATAAAAGCAGGCTTCAAGTAGCAATATTTATATAAAAAATGCTCAGCTTCAAACGTAAATTTTACATTTATTGGGTAAATATAATAAATATTCATTGGAGATTATATCTCATACAAAATAAGAACTCCATAAACAGAAGGAATTTTTAGTGTTCTTAAAGCTTACATTAAACGTTAATCGATTGAGAGTCTGTCAACACTAACTTAACATTTTAGGAACTAAATAATAGGGGAAAATACAAAATTAAAGAATTTTCCTCACAGATAGAGAAAACCCGAGAGAGAGCGAAAGAAAACTCTAATTTCTGAAAGCATCTTAATTATGTGAAAGCTTCTCCAAATACATTCCCCCATTTTCACTTAATTTAGAAACGCATTCGGAAAAACACGCGCTCTCGAGTTCCTGTCGGGCATTGTCTTAATTGGAATCATAAAACAGCCATAAGCACTCAGCGCATTCGATGGAAATTAATTGATCCATCTTGGGAGCCTGTCAAATGCACCGATGCACACACGATGGGCTACCCAGAAACTCCCTCGTGCAGTGAAAATCCCAATTGAATAGAGATGCTCTTGGGTGCGACCTCGTTCAACTCCCCGCCGGCGTGCAGCCACCGTCCTTGGGTTAAGTAAATTACACGGGCGGCTAAAAATAACCAGAAATAATGCGATGTGTCAAAACAAAACATCAAAAACGAGGGAGGGCCGCAGCAGGTAAGCGGCGGAGAGCAGCGCCTTGGGCAGTGAGCACTTCAAAGACGACGAATTCGTCGCCGGGCTGCCAATAGGGGAATTGAATGAGAGCATAAATCATTAAGCACGGGCAGATGATTGCCGCTAACAACTGGGCAAATGCCAGTGGCAATTATAAATAGATCTGGGCTCTCGAGAGCACATCAAAGTTTCCCCTGCACCCGGGACACTGTTTAATTGGTCAGACGGAGGTCGGAGTCACTGCATCTTCCGTGTGGGGGCAACCACAGGCGTGCCACATAGCGTAAACCCCACCATTTGCCTTGTATATCCGGGCCCATTCATAAGGATTTACGGCTAGGTGTCGCCTTCCCGTTTTGGCCACATATTTGCTCAGCCTGCCGCAAGCCAAAGCGTTGACAAATTGCAGTGGCAGCAGCCGGAAAAGCAGCAGAACCAGCAGCCATAGCTATGGCTATGCATAGTCATGTTTGCCATTTTGCTCAAGTTGTCAGCGAGTACGCGCCGGCAAGTATGCAACGGCGCATAACAAATGGACAAGTCTTTGGCTTTGCGGCGGAACGAGCAGGGATTAGAGAGAGGGAAACTTCAATAATTTGCTAATATTTTTGCAGCACACGCGTATGCATATAAATTTTTGTTTTCCTCTAATCCTACCCGGGAAATTCCACTGAAACTGAAAACATTTCAACATCAAAGCGCGACAAAAACACCAGCACAAAAAATGTTTTCTCCACTTTTTTTTTGCGAAATGAAAGCGCTGCCAAGCTGGGTGTCGCCTGAAATTAAGCCACAAAAAAGCTAAAGAGATCGAAAATCGGATGCAGGGGATTTCCACTTAAATTGCATTAAATATTTTAAACGCTCCTATTGCTTTAAGAAACTAGATAACGAGGCCAATGCAAAAAAAAAAAAAAAATAAAAGCGACAGCCGCATTATTGTTCACCGCCGGACGACTCGGCTAAGGTGGAGCAAAAATAAAAGAAGCCGCTCAGGCGGAAACAATGTGGAAATTTTACAGGTTGCCCTGTCAAATAAAATAACACAAAACATGGGCCCAACAACACGAATTCACAAGAAATCATTTTTTTGTTAAATGGAAAGGAGGAAGAGAAACCGACAAGGACCAAAAAGAAACATCAAGCTCGACAACGGCAAACGACGTTGGTGACGACAACCGGCGAACGGAAGCAGAGCCAGGGCAATGACAACATCGACAACAACACGGGACAGGGGATGGGCTGGGATGGGAGTTGGGGTGGGTGGGAGCTTTGGGGCGGCAGTGTTTTGGGGCAGCAGGAGGCAGGTGGGCTGCCGCGAACAGCAGTCGGAAGCTTTGTGTTAAAATAACAAACAATCAGCCGAATCATGCAGGAAGTGCAAATAACAAATAAATATATCGCACAGAAAAGTATTTGCTGCCGGATCAGGTTCGATTGCTGGCGTGAGTTCTTAACAAAGTGCCAATAAAGTGCAAGAAAAGCCACACACAGAAAGAAACCAGAAATCAATATGACTTATTGGAGTCGTGGGTCCTGAATTGAGATGGATTATTCCTGAATTTGAACAATATTATATTTTTATAAAATGTTAAAAACTCTTTACAAATGTTTATTATCAAATTAAATCAAGTTTTTCCTTCAGTGCATTTAAATAATAAAAATTCTTTGTTTTTTTTTCCCCTCACAGTACCCGCTCGATTGGTTTGGGCCGCTCTGGGCAAGACTGTGGAGCTGCCCTGCGACTTGACGCCGCCCACGGCGCAGGATTCGGTGAAGCTGCTGCTCTGGTTCAAGGACACCACGGGCATTCCCCTGTACAGGTAAGCGAAACTACTTCTTTTTTTCTCTCCTTTCCGAGGCTATTGGTGCGTAATCATCCGCTCTGCGAGCCTGCCAGTCAGCCATCCATCCATCTATCCTCCCATCCTGCCGTCTGTCCGCTCGTCCATCCATCAGAAGCGTGAAATAATCGTCAACATCCCGTTTCTTACACTCTACGTGCGCGTTTTGCTCCTGTTCTTTTGGCTTATTTCCGGCAGCTGCCACATGCGTACATGTGTGGATGTTTTGGGGCAAGGATGCGCCCGTCATAATCCACTTTGTTATAATAAATGTAAAGCACATCCGATTACGGCTGTCGTTGCTAAAGTGTAGCAAATTTTCACGCACACTCGCACGGACCCAAAACGCGCAAGGCGAGGACCCTTTGGTCCTTCTCACACCAGCATTTTTATAAATTTGTGCTGATAAATTTTCAATATAAATTGTGGCAGCCGCCGTGTGCCCTGCATGCCAAGTGCCAAGGGAATACCTTCCGACTTTGCGTGCCACAATCCGGAGCACTCATTAGAAGGGGTCTACGATGGGTGGACGACGGCCTCTGTCGAGGAACTGGCTAGGGACTGTGAAAGGATCTGTGTCAGCCGTGAGCCGGGCGCCGTGCGCCGTGCACGTGAAGTGGTCGGCACTCGATAATCATAAGCAGGAAAATGCAGCAGGGGCCGCGGAGCCCAGAAATAAACAGAGTAATTTACTAAAACAGCAACAAATTACTGCAATTTGCGCAAAGCTGCCAAAGTCGCGAACCAGGGAGGACGAAGGGCGCGGGAGCAACTGCACGCAGACGAGCGGCGAACAAGGACTCGGCACTAAACTCCTCTCCTGGCTCATGGTGTGCAAATTGAGCGTCATTTTTTATGGACGTAAATTATGCGAGGGCAGAGAGGGGATTTCCCTGTAGCGTCGGCCAACTTATGCTCGCCGCATATGTTTATTTATGACATCTAATAATCGCTACACGCTGCTACGCCCCCTCACTTACGCGTACTTATGACTTCTCCTTCATTATTCTTATCCGTTGCAGCCTGGACTCGCGGGGCGGAAACGTGAAGGTGGCACCACATGCGGCCATAGCTAGCGATCTGGGCCAGCGCCTGTTCTTCAGCATCGGCGATAATCCCAAGGATTCGCGACTGCAGATCAACGATGTAAAGCCGGAGGATGGCGGCGTTTACCGATGTCGCGTTGACTTCTTCAATTCCCCGACGAGAAACTTCAGGCACAACCTGACCTTAGTTGGTGAGTAATGGGGGAGTTTTGAATTTGTAAAATATTGAGATAATGGGACGGTTCCTGATTAATTTGAATTCCCCCTCTTGCAGTGCCCCCCGATGAGCCGCGCATCTTCGATGCCCAAGGCAAGGAGATTGCCCAGATGGCAGGACCCTTTCGCGAGGGCTACGAGCTTTTCCTCTGCTGTCAGGTGAAAGGAGGTGAGTTTATCTACAGTTCTTATTATTTTAAATATGTAATTTAAAGAACAAGATTATAACTATCGGTATTTGTTGTTACTTTCTGACAGCAGAATACTTTTTCGTTCTGTGCTTTTAAGCCCGCTCTGTAAGGCATTTTGACCCAGTTATAAGTGTCCTGCGTGCTGGCCTCTTTGTCAGTGCCACTGCCAGCGCAGTGTGACGCATTATTTACCATTGCACTCGTGACTGTCAATTGCAGGCAACAAGGATGCTTCTATCCTGCAGCACCCTAGACCTGCGAATGCCACTCGCTAGTCACCAGTCACATCTGGCTGAGAGACCCGCATCGAGCTGCAAAGCGAAGCCATTACTCACCGAGTCTCCTTGTGCCTTTTATTGTCATTCCAGGACGCCCGCCACCCAAGGTCACCTGGTGGCGCGACAACACCGAGCTAATCGGCACCAGCCACACCTCGGTAGAGGAGGGCGCCACCGTGATGGTGAATCAGCTGCTGATTGGAACCACCACGCGCGACTTCTACGGCGCACGCATCGAATGCCGGGCTGGGGGCACACGACTGGTGGATCCGGTCCGCAAGGATGTCACCGTGCAGGTTCACTGTGAGTCCACCCTCAAATACTAATATATAGATTTATTGTTTGTATCACCAAACGACTTGCAAAAGTGTTCGTTTGCCAATAATAATGTCAGAAAACTATTTGCTGATTAGACTTGTTAACAAACTATTTAAATGGCTTTAAAAGTTTTTAGAACTTGTTAAAATGTATTACTTAATTTAGGTAAATTGAGGCAAGTTTCGAGACCACTGAAACTAATGGATTGTTAACGTATTGGTTCATGGATGACTTGCAAACCTAATAAACAAGTCAGTTTAGTTTAGATTAGTTAGCAGTTTAAAAAAGTGAAATTTTGTTTTCAAACTACATATTGAGCTATTGATAAAGAGAAATGGGTTTTACTTTAATTTTCTCATTCAATTTTAATACAAATATTGTTAAGTTTTAAACTTTAGTGAATAAATTATTAAATATCTGACTATGAATTAAATTTATTGTCTTAATAAATACATTTTCTTCCACCAGTAAAACCTGTTCGAGTAAAGATCATAACGCCAAACGATCTGCTGACCGCCGGACAGCCGATGCCCATTCGCTGCGAATCCTGGGGTTCCTATCCGGCAGCCAAGATCACCTGGCTGCTCGATGGCGAGCCCATTCGCAACGCCGAGGTCACCGTGCACAGCGACAAGGAGGTGAGTACGATGCTGGTCCCTGGTCCTGGCCAAATTGACCAAAATTGTGGCACTATTTTGCGGGGGAAGAAAGTTTTATTCTTGTCCGCCATTCCCAGGACAAGGCGACTTTGTGCCGGAAAATTTGCTTGCAGCGTTTGACATTTGATAGCTGGCCGCAGTGCAGCCACTTGTATACATATACAAGCATTTATACTATATATACAGAGAGAGAGAGAGTGCGCTGTGCAGCGCTTAATAGCTCAGGCAGAGGCGACCGCTGGGTGACCCTAAAAGCGAGCTGGACGAACTTTTCCTGCGGGCAGCAGCAAAGCGGGTGGATCCGGAAGAACAGGATGCCGGCAGACAAGTTGACTTTTAGCCAGCTTCTCTACGGAACAGAACCCTTGGCTCCTTTTGATGAACTGCACTGGGGAAAGTTTTTGCCAAGCTGCACAAATTTGCACTCTTTGGACGGCCATTGATTCGGCTAATGTGCGAATTTTTTATTTGAATTTATGTGGCTGGACCCCAACTACTATTTGCTCGCAAATGGGAGCCATTCCTTTCACTCGAGCTGGCATTTATCAGGTCGCTGTGTTCTGCAGGGCTCGGAAGATGCGGCTAGCTCAGTTTCGGCATCCATTAGTTCTCCTTCGAACCACTGTCTTTTTCGCTTTCTAATTATGCCATGTAAACGGATAGATGCTGCCAAACGTCGCCGGGCATTAGTCAGCTCGTGCATAACCAACCGACTGCCCTTCGATCCCGGGGACAGTTTTCCACACACATAACCGGACGGAGGAAAGAGGAAAAGCCAGAAAAGCCAAAGCTTGTTATTTTGCAGGTCCAGGCTTCGATTGTTGCCAAAACGTGGCTCGACTCTGGTTTTCGGTTCTCTAGCTGACGTCGTAACTTAATACCCGGTCTGCCATCAGCTCTGCTCCTCCACATCGGCAGGCAGAGCTGAAAGCTGGAGCTGGTGCTGAAGTCGAAGCTGGTGGCAGGACGATGGTTCACAAGGACATGGGCTTAGCTCGAAATTCGACTCATTATTTTCAAAGACCCAGCTGGGGAATGCAACTCGAGAGGCCAAAGCAGGCATACACACCCTGTGCTAACGAAAGCGAGTGGGCATGCAACATCCCGTTGAAGGGAAAAATATTTAACAAAATATCAATGTATCATATTTACATGGCATTATGCCAATTACAGGGCTGCAACAGCAGGGAATATAACGAATATAAGGACCTAAAAAGTGGAGAATAAATATATTATAAGCAAAAATGTATCATGTTAGCTCTAGTTATTTATCCTTTAAATTATTTTGTTAACTTTAAGCTTATATTCATGTCCCTTTCTTTTTATTTTCTTCTTGCAGGATGGCAATATCACGACGAGCATCCTGACACTGAAGGTAACTTCAGAGAACGATAATGCCGAGCTGACGTGTCGCGCCACGAATCCTTGGTTCTCGGGTGGCGCCATCGAGGACAAGCGCATCATCCGAGTGGCATGTAAGTACACACAGGATATGCTTCCTTTTTGCGGCAGGTGAGCCTGGAACCTGTTATTAGCTCGCCTTCAATTATAGCAACAATGCGACGGCCAAAAGAGGCTGAAACCAGGTCTGGGTCTGGCTACGAATCCCAGGCCATGGTCAGGAGCGGCTTTTGTGTATCCCTTACAGGTCCTGACCTGCCAGTGTGTGTGTGGAGGCTCCGGGGAAAGTCCAATTAGAAGCATATTACGGCCAGAGCCAGCGTAATTTTATTATGGCCAACGGAACCAGAGCCACGGCCAGAGCTAAAGCTAGAGGCCACATCAACCTGTTAGCAGGCGGTTGCCTCTAAGCCGCTTATAAAATGCAGTCAAGTTGACTTCGACGTCGTGTTCTTCGACTTGCCTTGATTAAATTTTCACCGTTATGTTTCTATTGCTCTTTTTTTGCTGGCCCCATAATATTTGCAACATCCGCTTCCGGCTTCCGTTTTACATTATCCCCCTCCGTCGCTCCCGTCAATATTTGTCGGGATAAAAAAGCGAAGTTAGTAGTGGTTGTTACACTTTAAGAAAATGTGTTGCTCTAAGGCTTTCAAGAAGATTTATCAATTATAAAAATAAGTTTCCATCTGTCCGTCTTTCTCCGTGTACTTGCAATTTAAATTATTAATATACTTGGCTCTTGCTTGGTTTAATTAAATCTTGTGCATTTTCAATCAGTTTCTCTATGGCCCATTAGGCAGGGCTTTTTCTCTGAGTGTGGCACACTCAAGAGGGCTGAATTACCTGCACTCAAATCAGGCCAGCAGCCGACTTGATTCGCTTGCTTTTCATTTTGTGCTTCTTTTTAATAATTCACCATAAACGTCAGCATTTTGCCCGACCGTCGTCCCACGCCATTGACATTTGGACGAGGCCCCAAGTCCGGGCTCCAGAGTTCGGAGAGTGGATGTGGGGCCACTATAGTTCAGCCCTCGTGTTCGGACAAAGGACCAACCGGAGCCAAGTGGCGCCGCCAGTCTCCGACGCGTATTAGATTTTTACAACCGTAACTAATAGTCCCATTTGGCGTGTGGTCAAGAGGCCGTGCGGCGGGCCGGGTCCTTCCCAAAGGATGTTCGGGGCCACGGCAGCTGGGGCTAAGTACATTACGCAATGCCAGCCAAGACGGAGATGGAGACGAAGATGGAGTCCGAGACGGAGTCCACCTTGTCAGCCATTGCCGTTTATTATTTTGACTTTTATTCAGCCATTCGCTGCGCTCATTAAGCCGGATGCCGCACTCACTTATCCGCTCTTCTCTTACAGATCCGCCCACGGTGTCGGTGCACTTGGCCAACGAGGATCCCAGCCGCCTGGTGACGCGGGCCGAGGGCCAGAACGTGACGTTCAAGTGCCGGGCAGATGCCAGGCCGCCGGTGACCGGCTACTCCTGGTTCAAGAATGTAAGTGAGCCCCTGATTTCCCAGTTCCTTCCTACCACATCCTCAACTCCCCCCAAGCCACGTCCATTTCCACAGCCATTCGCCCGGGGGGCTAACGACCAACAGCTGACGTGTATCAGCAACTCGACAGACACTTTTTCGAAATTTTTATTATCAATTGTTGGGGCCAGAGGCGTCGACATTCCTGCGGCCCCATAAGCAGACACTCTTGCGGTTTAATTTCATTTGGCAGGACCGCTTAAAGGGGCCTCAGCTTTAGCCCAGGACTTGAGCACACATTCCACAAGGCGCAATAGAGGAATGTGGCTGGGATCGTGGTCAGTGGGTGGGGCACAACTGCCGGACTCATTTCTCAAACGTCTTATAATTGGCTCATGATGTCCATTGAAGTCCATTCGTGTTGCAAATTATTTAACTATTAATCATGCGACAAATAAACCGAAAGAGATTGGCATTGCCACAAAGTTTCCTTTCCGTTCGTGTTTCTATTTCTTTTTTGGATGGCCAGCCAACAATGGTTTGACTTGGCCTGGGTTTCTATTATTAAACCGCATGATTCTGACATCCTTTGACAGTTTTGTCCACATGGTCACATCATCATTTTTCATAACTAGCAGCAAAAACCATAAACCCAAGCTCATATTTTCCCTTCAGTCTCCTGCTATTTTTCTCCGAACAAATTGCCAAAATAAAAAAAAAAAACCTGAAAACGATTTGAAGGACATGGAGGCGGGGTCGGTGTGCTTTCGAAAACTTCTCCTTATTTAGGGCACTTTGATTTTTGATTTTCAGTTCGCCTCTTTCTGGCTGTGGCATTAATAGGCGGAGAGAAAATGAGGCAAGGAATTATGAAAAACGAGTGGCCAAATGTGCAGAAAAAGTTCTAAAGAGCCAACTTTGTCACTTCTGCGAGTTGTTCGACGTCAGTTTGCCATATAGATTTTTATTATCAGCATGTTTTCCGCATTTCCTTTGCCTTTCCCGCACAACTTTTCACTGGGTCCAAACTTTAAAGTTTCCTCAGCCCCGACAAATTAATGAAACCCAACGAGGCGGGGCAGGGCAATCGAATTAAAGCAACTTTCGAGCGGGCCCCACATTTGTGTGTGTGTGTGTTCCCAACTCTGTGGCACATGGCATTGTTAAATGCATTATTTTACAAGGGCAAATGCAATTATTTCCGCTCTCCATCGGTGCTCCATTGGCTCTTAATGAAATTTACAAATAATCAAATGATGCAGCACGGCCAATTTGCGGCGGATCTATAACGCGGAATTCCACACGCATGACAGGAAACCGAGGGGGTGCTAATTAGCTGCCAATGATATGCACATATGGGGGCGGCGCCAACAAAGGGCGAACTTAAGCTATTTAAATTGCATTATTATTAATATTATGAATTAATTAAATTCATGTGCAAATTCCAGCCTGGTTTTCGCTACTAAATGCATAATCGAATTATTCAAGAGTCAAGCTGTGCTAATGGAGCACTCGCATCCTCGCATCCGCACAGAGTCACTTGTCGGCGTCGATTGGCAGTGAAATGCCTTCCGCTCTCCCACCCTGGCCATAATTCAATGGCCATCCGAGTGCCGGCTGTCAAATGTCGAATGCCAAATACCGGCAATGCCGAAACTACAATATTAATTTGATTTAATAAATCCGTTACGGGGCGTGGTAGAGTGGCCACATTAGGCTGAGGCAACCGCAGCAAAACTGCCCCAGCATATACGAATATTAGCAGATAGTGACCAGTGGGAGGCAGTGGCTCCATTGCGGTTGCCATTTGGTGCTGGCTCTGCTGGTGGTTGCGGGTCCTGCGGTCACTCGACAATGCATCCGGCAACCACCGCAATTGGCGCCATCTAAGACCATTTGGACAATTCTTTTCAACCATTTGTGTTTCCGCCAGCACCAGAGGGAACACTACGAAAATAAAAGGATAATTTTTCTCTAAAGATGTATGCTTATTAAAAAAAATCTTTAGGAAAGACTAACATACCTTACTTGTACATATAAAAGCTTTAATGTTTAACTGAGCTTTAATGTTTAAAAGAACCCAATAAAAAACAGGTTGCTGGTAAGCTTTCGGAAATTCGAGACCTAAGCAATCTAAAATAAAATAGACCAACCTCCTCCCCATCACTCCTTCTTCCACTTTTAAATTTAAACCGCTCGTCAATTTTAGCCAAGTAATAATATCCACCGTTTTGTGCACATTTCAGGGCATGCGAATGTCGGGCGAGAGCACGGAAATAATGCACTTGACGCAGCTGGAGCGGGAGAGCGCAGGAGCGTATGCCTGCGGAGCCACCAACACGGAGGGCGAGACCCGGAGCTCCAGCCTCACGCTCCGAGTGCAGTGTAAGTACGACTCAGGGAGTGCGGAATGCGAAATAAAATGTATACGCGTACACAAACTATGGCGGCCACGTGATGGAGTTGCATGGCGGCGAACCGGAAGCGGATGCTGCAGAATAAAATCAAAATCAACAAGCAGCCGTGGCTGCCAGCGTATAACAGTTGCCAACTTTTTCGGGCTGCGGATGGGGAAATTGCTTAGAAATGATGCATGACCATGTCTCTAACTCCATCTGTAACTGTCGGCGAGGCGGGTGTGGATTCTGGTGTGGCAAGTGCGGCGGGTGTGGCCGGTGTGCGGGACTGCCTGCGGTTGTTGCTCGGCTTGTTTACAATTGTAAAATCCGTGCTGCCGCTGGCCTAAACAACCGCCATTGATTTATTCACACGCACAGACAAAACTTTTGCCTATAAATCCAGCAACACTCGCAAAACTTTTCATAAACCTCACGGTCCGGTTTTCCAGTTCCCTGCCCCCCAGGCAGATCGGAGTTGCCTCTGGCCATTTTTTGCCGTGATTAATGTGGATTTCATATACTACTCGCACAAGCGATTTGGTTGCATAAATCAGAAGGGGGAAAATGCCGAGCTCTCCAAGCTGCACAATCGATGAAGCCCGGGGACCAAGACGAAGACGAAGGCCAAAACCGATACCGAGACTCTCAACCCGGCCAACCGAGTGAGTCTTAAGTACACTATTTGGCCGGGTTCGTGTACCCTCAATCTGGCAAAGAAATTCCATTTCAAAGCGAAGATTGTAAGGATGGCGGTGGTGCGTAGCCCTTTTGTTGCCTGACGTCGCTCCAACATTTATTGTGTTGTCAGCTTACAAGCAAAAATGTCTTTTCATGTTACGAGTCCTGCCATCGCCCGGTTCCGGAATAGTGCCACGTTTCTTTGGCTACCACTTTGACAATCTGAAATGCATTTCCCCCTCTCCCTCCAGCTCGAGAGCTGCACGACAGTTTAAGTAGTTTATATTTGAAATTATGAAAGTTTTCCGAGAGTCTTTCGCATTGACTTTGGGGGTGGGATTTAGGTAACTTTCCTTTCCACATTCGGGCACACACTTACTTGCACGAGCAACAAGTTCGCAGACACAGACAGATGGCTTAAGTATTCGACGCTGAAATGCAGCTGACTTGTGATAAAAGCCAAGAACGTAGTAATGAAGCCTCGAATGCTTATCTGCCTTGGCGTGACTTACATTTTAAAGGCGGCTTTCAGCGCCCGGTAGACGTATAATCTCAGATACTAACACAAAGCCAGTGAAAAGAACACCTAGAGAAAATAGTCAGTAATCCACTGAAATTATTAAAATTGATTTAAAAAGAAGAAAAATCAAAAACCGTATTTCCAAGAAAATCAAATAAGATCAATTTATGTTACATAATATTTTCTTAATCAAACAAAAACCTTTTTTTGCCGTGTTCAAATTTACAAACACACTCTCACAGCGACAGACAGATTCTCCCTGGGGGCAAGGCAGTGCTTCCGCATATCTGCTCTCATTTTACAGGCAAGTGAAAGTAAGCGCCGACTGACTCGCTTTTCTTCCGATACCTGGCACACAGATTTTCCCGCTAAGCTACACACAGCAGAAGAAAAAAGAAACCTCGTTCGTGAAACGGAAACATGTTAATTACTATGCTCAAGGCTATGTAGCTGGCTCGACTTCCCTTTGGATTTATCCTCCTCGTTCTTGCCTCATATTTTTGTGTGTATTTTGAAGGGGGGCGTTCCCCCAGAGAGGGAACGTGGGGCTGTTTGCTCTCCAAGGGGGAGGCTGAGCAAATTTAAAATGGAAACTTTTTGCTGCCTAACAACTCGATGGTATATATATTTATGAAGCTCGCTCTCACGTTCCCATTCCCGCTTGGCCCATCTCTCTTTTCGCAGTCTCCCCGCGCTGTAAGTCGGGCACGGAGCAGACCTCCATTGGAGCCGTCAGTCTGCACTCGATTCTGGTCAAATGCGAGGTGGATGCCGATCCGCCGGACTCGGTGCGGTTCAGCTGGACCTACAACAACACACGGAACGTGTCGCCGGTAAGTCAGCATTTATAATACTACTATTATTATGTATGGAAAAACATGCAAGTAGGATTTATGAATAAATATCATAAAAAGAAGACAGTTAGTATTTATCATACATATTTTTTAAAAAGCAAATTTAAAATTGAAATAAAAAAAATTTCCAAGAGTATCCACAACTTGAAATACTTTCCCCTAACTTTTATTGTGTAAAAACCAAGTCCTGGGCCATATTTCGCGTGTGCCCGGACTGGGCCAAAGGTGGCTTGTCCGGAATCCAAACCGAACTTATTGTGTCTGTAATTATGCCGGGGAACGTGCTGCAACCCACTGTCGCAATTACGGGAAATGGCAGCCAGTAGGAGCCAAGTTCGAAGTCAGGCTGCTATTAGCAGAACTTGTGCTAAATACTCGAGGGTTGTCTGGGATTTTCGTTCGACAATTCAAGGCAGACAGACGAACAATGGCCGGACGAGCCGGGAAGCCCAGCTCCGTAAGTGACTGAATTAAAATTTAATCAAAATGTATAAATTCGGGCAGCTGGGGGCCCCAAGCACCAGCATACCTACATTCGAGGGAATTTAAAATGCAAACCGTTTAGGTGCAAAGCACAGGACTGCAGAGCTGGCAGAAAAACGAGAGATAGATGGTAAGCAAAGGAAAGAGACCAGGAGCAGGAGTAGAAGCAGCACTTGGACATGGGCATTGAGTGGGTGAAGGTCTGACCAAACGAACCGAAAGACTTGCATATGTGACTCGACGGCTTTGGGACAGCTGTGCACAATAAATAAAGTAATTCATTTACCGCACAAGTTATTTGAAAATCTGCACGAAAATCCGGAGAGCCACCGGATGACTTATCCCGTCTCCAGTTCGATTCGTTTGTCCTGCAATAAAAACTTATTTGCCTTCAAATATTTATGCTCCGTGGCTCCTGGTCCGGGGTTTGCTTTGATTTCGATTCGGAATTGGAGTCGGATCCCAACTGCATTTGATCCTGCCGACGTCCGCACAATGTGAGCCGTTCTAATCCCCCGGCTTTGGCCGTCTCCTTCTACATTTCAGGTGCTCAACTCGAGGATACAGTCGAACGGGCTGGCCAGCACAGTGACGTACCTGCCGCAGACGGACTCGGAGTTAATAACGCTCGCCTGCTGGGCCAGCAATGCGGTGGGCCGCCAGACGACGCCCTGTCTGGTGCACATCCTCCCTGCCAGTAAGTACAGGTGGAAGGAAGCCGAGTCGAGTTGAGGAAGTTGTTGCCACAAGATGCCGGCACTTACCTCCATCTTCGCCGCAATTTAGAGGAGACGCCACCGCTGCTAGCACTGGTGTTGGCCCCCAGTCTATCTCTTATGCACACATAAGGATCTACTTACATAATTGGCGAGTGTGTGTGCCGAGGAGAAGGAGGGGATGCGGTTATACCTGTACCAGTGCCGGTGTCGGTGTCGGTGCCGGCGTGTACTTTGCCAAAATGTTGCCAAATAATCCTTGGGCTGAACTGCCTGCCGGTACTGCAGGACTTGGCCAAATTCGGTTGTTATTAATGCAAACTAGGGGCGTGGCTATGCACTGTTCGAAAATGTTGTCTTTGCTTAAATTGAGAGTCGTACTGTATTTTTAAATATCTTGAAATTATAATATTGTTTATTAAATTCCGCTTTAATTTAAATGACACAAATTTTGTTGCTGACTTTTCCAGCCGAATATATTTCCAAGTATTTTCTCAGCATTTTGTGCAATCCACCCTCCGCTTAAAATCACAGCCAACTTCATAATTTCCAGGGTGTAGTCCTTACTCTATATTTTGGTTTTAACGTGGCAACGCCTTCATTTGCGGCAAAGTGGCGCTTTAAGGCAGCGAGAGAGCTGCTTTTAAATGCAATTACGGCCGAGCGGCGGTGGGCCATTAAGCCCCGGCTTGTCCGTGACTGTGACTATGACTAACTGCTATCTGCCCGGCTCTTTTCCAGATACTCCAGAGGCGCCGAAGGCCTGCGAACTGCGCAACGACACCGTCCTGGAGGTGGTCTGTGTGGCCGGCAGCGACGGCGGCCTCTCGCAATACTTCATGCTGGAGGTGGTGGGCGGCGACCTGCTCTACTCCGGCGATTCTGGGCAGGCACAGGGACAGGGCTCCAACCGGGGACAGTTCAGCGAGGCCATTGGCCTGGGCGACAACGAGATATCCACGCTCAACGACCAGGTGAGTGCAGCAGCAGCAGCAGCCCCTGAATCGAGTTAGCCTAAGTTGATAAGTTCCAGCAAGCAAAACGCAAATTGCTCAATTAAATTAAGATTTACTCACGGCTCGGCACACAGCCGGCAGCTAGAAACGCAAGACTGAAGCCGAGGCTGAAACTGAAGCTTAAAAACTGACGCTCGAAGCTGAAAGCTGGAAAGCTGGAAACTGAAACCGAAACATCACAGTGAGGGGCAGGGACTTGGCAATAATTCACTTGAAATCCATATGGTCAATTAGTGTGCATGTCCTTTGACTTTTCTGCTTGAATTAGTAATAAATATTTTGGAGGAGACGAGGGGGGCATGGCTGCAGGGCCTTCTCCGGCCAACTCGAGTGTAAAAGGGACAACATAATTAATGCTGTGAGTCCCCGGTCAAATGCTCGCACCCTTTGTCCCCACTGCAAGCTGCTGAGTTATTAAATTATCCCTGTCACTCGTCGTAGATGGGAATATCATATGAAAATTTCATTTCATTTCGTTTCGCTGCGCCCGGTCGGACTTCTCTTCTGATGAAGCGCTTTGCCGGGCGAGTTTATTAGCAAAGTAGCCAAGCGCAAAGCTCATCACGAGGATGGTCATGAAAATGAAAATGAAAATGCGAACGACGATGACGATGATGATGTTGATGATGATGATGATGGCAGGGACTACTTCTCCGTGTCCTGGACAGAGTATGACCCACGCGTTGGTCCGTTGGCTGGCAGCTTTAAACTTTCATGCTAGATAAAGGCCACACTCGGACTCGCACTCACACACTGCCGCCGGCGGCAGGACTCGGCTGGGGCTGGAAAAGTGCCGCAAGGACAACATAAATTACTTACGCTTACTTGAGTGGGAATTTGTGCGTAACCAACGAAGCTCACTCGATTGTGTCCCATTACGGCAAACGGATATTCAGTTTAAAATTTCAGACACTGTCCTGTTTCTGTTTCTGTTTCTGCTTCTGTTTGGGTTTCAGCCTCGGCTCCTAGCTCCTGTACAGTTGTGCCTCGAAAACAGTTTTCGGGCATGAATAATTATTTATGCGTTGGGTCCGCTCTGGACCGAAAAGTTAAAAGTACATGGCATACTTGGCAGCGTATGGCAAGTGAATTATAAATGCGTCTGTATGCCGTTGTCATAGTCGCATCCTGAATCAGCCGGCGCATATGTGTGTGTGCTCGCCATATATTCTATATATTGAAATGTTTTGCTTTGTGTATAATTTCAGGCGACATCTGCACCCATCTTCCGCATGCAGGAGAACAGTCCACAGTTTCGTTTGAATAATTTAGAGCCGGGACGTGAATATCAATTTTTAGTTTACGCCGTCAACGCCAAAGGACGCAGCGAGCCGCCGGTGGTGATTGAGAATGTACGCGTGGCCGCCCAACTGGGACCATATGGTGAGTGTGTACCCCGAAAAATCCTAAGATACTTGACAGCCGACAAGCGGAAACTGAAACTGAAACTGCAAAAAAAAAAAAAAAAGGGAGCCCGGTCATGCCGCTCGGCCTCTCTTGCTAATCACATAAACAGCGCAAGTTATGGCCTCCCGGTTGCCAGTTGTGGGTCACTTCTTTCCCGGGCCAATAAAGTACCCCGATCCTGAGCCAGCCTCTGGGTCTCCATCACGGTTTCGGTCTCGGTCCTGAGACTGAAACTGAAACTGGAACTCGGAACAGCTGAGGACGGAACTGTCTAATTCAACGCTTGACTGCATTTTCAAATCAACGCAAGTTCGGGGAAATCGTCTTCAATCAGCCGCCGCGAAAAGTTCGCACATGGCGTCACACACACACACACAGGGAGAGAAAAGGCAGAAGAAGGTCGGGTGGCTCCGACCCAGGGATGCCCAGCAGTCTCTTTGGACTCTAAAAAACATTATTGGGAGTTCCTGAAGATATTTATATTAACTATATTTTAGAGGCTTTACAAAAATATATATACTTTATGGAATAGAAAATATTATATATGCATAGGCTACTCGTCAAATGCTGAGTATGAAAATCCCATAGAGGAAAGAGCCAACCTGAAGTCTCCTGGAGAATGCCTAACTGCCTCCAGTGAGTCAGTGGATGCCCAAGGCTTCGCCCTTGAGAACGGGACGCCCTTTTCTAATCCAGTGACTGAGTTATGCAGTGAAGCGGAAAGCATTTCAGCATTTTCCATCAATTCTTTGAGTGGGGCACACGCATATTACGTATACGCAGGGGCGTGCCGCAACAGCCTCTTCATTTTGCTCAAGCCTAACGACATAATGCGACTGCCTGAGTGTGTGTGTGTATCTTTGTGTTTGTGTGCGAGCACATGTGAAGTGTGCGTGAGTATGCCAAAGTGTGTTTGTGTGTGTGTAAGGGAGCGTAAGCGTAAGCGGAATTGCTTCAATTTTCGTTTTGCTTAACGGCCACCGTAGACACTTTTCTTTTATTGTTCCTTTCCCATTTGCTGGCTCTCTCTGGCTCTCGCTCCTGCCATCCTGCTCTCCTTCTCGCTCACAACTACGACAACAATGTTGTCATTATTTTCATGCTGATTTTTATTTTTATCTGCATTTCCATTACCATTTCCACTTCCATTTACCGCTCGAGCCGTGCAATACTCGGCCATTTTTATTTCGGCTTCCTTTTCCTTTTTTCGGTGTGCCCGCCCGCCGGTCATAAATCACTCATATTGCCCGATTTAATGGCGCTAATTGCATTTGATACGCAAATGTTCGATTAGGCGCACTCACTAGATTTTGCGGCGCAGTCAATTTCCCGGCGAAACTTATTTACATGAAACAACAGCTGCCCGCCAGCTCCCGGCGTCTCCCAGTTACTTATGTATGTTAATGGGCCTCTGTCCGCAGATTCGGCTTTGTCCGGGCTCGTAAATTCGGCCTCTGCGATTACACAGCCGAGACTATATGGACTCCGCGGCGGCGTAGGGCGCTGGGAGCCCTTCTAATTTATGCGGAATTTTAACAGCTGCCTTTGCCTAGCCCACGCAGATTTTTCCGTTTTTCCCGATGTTTTGTTTTCGTGGGCTTCCTTCCGTTCGGCATATGTGGGGCCATAAATTCGTGAAAGCAGGTCGTCGCCAGGCAGTTGCCACCTAACCAGATTCTAGGGAATAAATAAAATGGAGCCAAATCAGCTGACGCTGATTTAAATCAGTTTACGCAGAACTCATCAACAGAATTTATTGCACTTGGCCCGCCCGCGGTGAGCGAAGGGAAATCGTGAAAAATACCCAGCAAAGTGGGCACTTGAGCTGCGAAAAAAGCATCAAAGAAGAAGCCAAGCCGGTGAATAAATAAGTAAATGCCCGACCAAACAATGGTGGTGAAGGTGAACCAAGAGGCAGAGGCGGAGGTGAGGACAAAGACGGAGATGGAGCTGGAGCTGGGAAACTGATTAAAAAACAGGCAGGGCTGATGATGGAGATGCCGTGAACCTTGGCATCAGAAGTCGATCCAGTCCAAAGGCCAAGCAATAACGGCAGGCAGCAACAAAAATTAAATTGAGCCGCAGGTGTAGGCAATTTCCACTCAAACGCTCACTTCAAAAGCGGGAGACGGACCTGAAGGAGGTCCTGCTTCTGCTCCTCCGCACTTGGCAATGTTTCAATTCCGGGGCCGTTGCTTTGACGGCCCGCAAATGGAGCGGAAATGCTCCTGCCTGCCAACGAAAAGGGGGAGGCTGGCTTTAACGAATGTCTGGCATAAATCTTGCCCGGGGATCATCTTACAATCAGTTCAGCGAGAGCAGGAGCAAGAGCAGGAGCCGGATCTGAAGGTGGAGCTGATGCCCGGGGCTATGGCTCACACATTATGCTGCAATTTCCGCCGGCTGGAAATCTAATAAATATAAACAATGCCTCACATGTTGCTCATAATTGCCAAGGCTTTGCGGCAAGTGCCATCAGGCCTAATCGCTGGTAATAAGTGGTCAGAGGTGGGGGCCTGCCGGTTCCTGGCCTGTGATATTCATAATTTCTGTTCTCTAGCAGCAACTATTTATCAAGCCCGTAGATGTCCCATCACCGAGGACTCGGCCATTTCGGCTAATTTCAATTTTCAACCCTATTTCATCCTGCCTGCCGAGAAGGGGGAGGCGGCGGATAAACAAAAACACAATAAGCAAACAGTCAAAGGCAATCAGTTAGGCAAAAGAACACGGCACAGCCAAGCAAATAAATAAATAAACGAGGGGCGAGCGAGCGAGGAGGGACAAACAGAAATCAGCAGAAGCAGCAGCATCAAACTAATTCCGAGCAAATAACAAATCATTGCGAGGCCCCTGGAACTATCTGAAGTTCCACCTACGACCGATGATAATGCACAGGAAAAAAAGAAAGGCAGCTAATACAAAATAAAATATATCAAATTTTGAACCATCTCAAAGTTATTTTTATTTTAAAATATTTAAAAGGGTATTATTATCTTTCATGCTTTGAATTAATACCTCAAACATCCTTGAGGATTCATTTTAAATATATTCGCCCTGTGTACTAATAGTATTCTGTTCCTTCTTCCTTACAGATGAATCCATTCTATCCGAGGACCCAACGCCCGCAGAAACGACACACCATGGCGGCGGCGGTGCGGGCGGAAGCGGCAGCTCCAGCGGCTTGGGCACCGGCGCCAGCACGGGCAGCGGACCGGAGAAACAGTCCACCCTGCTAATACTCGCCGCCGTTGTGGTGATAGGCGCCGTCGTGGTGACGTCAATTATCGTGGCCGGCATCGTCGTGGTCTGCCGGCATCGTCCGCGGCCACCTGAGCCGCAGGAGGTGCGCAAGAGCATGCGGTGAGTAGGGGATCTGGTCTTTTGTTTCCATCCTGCTGGCTGCTGGGAAAAACTAATAATGAAATTGTTTGCTCCCGGCATGTGTGTGCGAATGTGTGTGCAGAAATAATTACGAAATTATTTATGTGGGGCACGTGACTGACAGCCGAAGCGGAAGAAGCGCAGAAGAAGCCGCGTGGGAGTGGAGAGCGTGGCATACTTTCTTGCGCATTTCTCGCTTATGCTTATTACGCAGAAAGTAATTAAATGACGGTCGCTCAATCAATTCCGCCTGCTTTAAACTCACCTCACCGTCGAAGGAAGGTCGACAGGTCGAGAGGCCAAATGACCGCTTGGCCTATCCGACCTGGTTAGTGCCGGGTTCATTAAAGCGATTGTCTAAACAGTTTGGGGCCGCCAATCGATTAGAGCCGAGCACGCACCTGGCCAGTAAATTATGCTTAGTCTGTAATTAAATTAATTAAACCTGCACCTGACGATGACGACCCAGGCGGGTCCAGGTCGGGTCCCGAAAAGAATCGCTATAAACGAGGACCGGAAGCGAGGCGGCAGCCGCACAAGTGAGAGTTTTCCATTTAAGATAGGAAATCAGCGCTGTATCTGCGAAAGGGTCGCGGTCGCGCCTTCTCCTGTGGGCGGGTAATTAAGCAGCTGTTTAGCCCCCATTCCCATGCTCCCGCCCTCAGCCTGCTAATGAAAGATAAACACAGTGTTCCGTCCCTCATCGTCCCTTGTGTCCATGTGGACGGGCCTCGACCTGCACCCCTGAACTGGGCTGGGATGGCTCTTTCTTTGATTCGACAAGCGGCACTGGCACTGGCACTAGCTCTGGCGCTGATTGCTCAATAATGAATTCGGGCGACCACTTCAAAGGGAAATCCAACGAAATATTAATTATAGTTGCCTAAAATAGTCGCGGGCACATCAAAGCGAGAACGCATGCGGGTCATTAAATGGTCATCCCGACTGTCAAACGCTCTCCATGTTCGCCCTGCCGTGCCATGTCCGTGCATAAATAAATTTTCATCATCAGCGGCGCACCTGTGTGGCGCTCCGCCATTCCATTCCGTTCGATGCCACCCCTTCGGTTCCGTGGCATGTGCGGCTATGCATAAATTTTAATGATTTGCCTTTTGCGGCAAAGTATTAGTGCAAATATTTGATGCCGCCGATAAGAGACAGCGATAGAGTGCGGCGTAATTAGCGTTCCCAGCGGCAGTTGGTTTATATTTAATTTACAATGGACCATCGAGCAGGCTGATTAAAAGTTCTCGACGGTTCTCCAGAGAAATTGTATATTTTTGCCCATATATATTATCATTCAAATACGGAGTCGATACGCGTAGCTCTCGTCAGCGGTTGGTGTGCGAATATTGCGCATACGCCCCGTGGCCCCGGCAAGCGAATGAATTTATTTTATATTGCCACCGTTTCTACCCTAAACAGCCAGAAAAGTTGCCAGCTCCCCAGGTGGCGGCTGCAGGTTTTGAATGCCGCTGTTGATATTGAAATTTGTGTCGCCTGAGAGCAGGAACCCGGCTTAGTTTGTCCACTTTGCTAAGCTGTTTTTATATACAGACATACCTTCAAACAAGTTGCTCGAAAAAGTGGTGGGCGCCTTGGGTACTATTAGCAACTTGTGTGTGTAGAGCAGGCAGGCAACCTGAACTTTTAATAGATTTTGACGACTATTTTTCAATTTGTTTATATTTGCAGGCCGGCGCGCAGCGATGTGCCCAGCATGTACATCGAGGAGGACGAACTGAATGAGCTGGAGGAGGGCGGCGGACGAGCGGCAGAGATTCGGGCGCGAGTAGCCCCGCCCACGGCGCATCTTTGCGGCGGAGGCGTCGGCGTGCCTGGCGTTGGATCCAGTGGCGGAGCCATTGTGGGCGTGGCCGGACCGCATCACTACATCTCCGAGAGCTTCATCCAGTATGCGCAGCCCAGTCTAAACGGTACTATTCCAAAATCTATACTCAACCGACTGTAGCCGTAGCAGTAGACGTATCTGTATCCGTAGTCCTAGTCGTAGTCGTATTCAAGTAGCCATTAATTTATCTATCCATCCACCACTCTGCGTTTGCACCCCCTCAATCGGCCCACTCGAGTGCCACTTGATATTAATTTGTAGTCGTAGCCTTAGTTTTAGTTGATTGATTTGCCCAATTGAATTTACGCTGTATGTTTATGTAAATAGCCCACCTGCACACCGACTGCCTGTACACCTCACCCGAACACGTTGCCTCGTAGCCATTATGTAGATTGGTTTAACATCTTGTTTAGGCACAATGCAAAATGAATAAATTGTCAGAGCCACAAGCACTTATATTTTTCAACCGACAGCTGTTTGCTGGTCAACCTCTGCTTTGTGTTTGTGCGAAACGAATGTTTAGTTATGTTTTGAGTACACGTGAGCATGTGAGTAGCGCTTGAGGGATGCCATTTGGGTGCGAGGACTTGACATAAAACAATTTGGTTGGCTTGAGTCTGCGCTAATGATGCGGTTGCACATCAAATTGGCTGCCAACTAATGAGTGAGAGCACGTGTAAATGCAAAACTAATTGCCCCTCATTTGGCATTCACAAAAGTAGCTTATGACATTCGAGTACACTTTCCCAATTAGCGCGGATCAAAGTATTTAATTTCGTTGCATTCAATTTGTATTTGAATTTGACTTGAATTTGAATGAGTTGAGCGATTAGTTGGAGTATCGGAAGGGTATTTCCGCACTAGCCGGGCACCCGGAGTAATGAGTAACCAGTAACCACCTCCACTTCAACCCTAGCCATAGTTCTCTGCCTCTCCCTCACAATCTTCTCTCTCTCTCTGTCTCTGCCTCCGCCTTTCTCTGTAGGTAGCGAAACACTCTCCACTCGCCTTCCAACAACTGTCTTAATCCTCGACTTGAAGTTGTAAATACCTTGCCCAGTACTTAAAGCCATGTATAGTAGTGTGCCCCCACACGTATCGAGATCATCCTGAGAGTCGTCGTCCTCCTAACCGTAACGTTCCCGTTATCCATCCAACCAGGCGATGTGCTGATGCCCCTGCTCGCAACGTCGTCCGGCCAGCCTCGCAGCGTGTCCGTGGTCCTGGCCACAGCTGCTCCACTTGCTGGGAACCCCTGTTCTGGGAGCCGAAACACTGCCTGGCCGCCCAAATGTATGCAAAGTAAATTTTATGTAACTAAATCTGTGCAGCAGGTCGAAGCAAGCATACAGTACCAGTACGAGTACCAGTACCAGAAACAGAAACAGCACGAGATACAGATACTCAAACAGAAACAGAAACAGGAACAGAAACAGGACCAACTGCAGTTGCAACTGCAGCTGCAGACCAGGCCACAGATGGCCAGTCATGTTTGAGTGCCAAGTCCCTGTCGAAATTGGCAGTATGCGAAGACGGAGACGGAGGCGGAGGAGGGATGAATACTTTTAATATCCCTTGGATACCGAGGACCCCGGCTCCGTTCCTGCTCCATTTCACATTTTAATTTGTCGTCCATTTGACATCCCAATTTACTTAGCTTGTTGCGTTGTAGTTGCCACATCCGTGCATTTCACATGTCTTTCATCAGATCTCCTTTTTTCCCTTTGTGCATCTGTAATTATTCGGCAATGGCTTTGTGGCCAATGTCACAGAAATGGCCAAAAGCTTCCTTTCAATTGCCATGATTCACCAAGTCAGTCAGCTTCTCAAAAGTCATCCAGATAAGGGATTTAAATGAATGGATCACAGATATTAAATAAAAACTAATTGAAGCTGATGAGTTTTTTGCCTGCCATTCGGTTGGCCAATCACTGCCAAAATAGATGCCGGAGTTCAGGCAAATATTGCTCCATGTGCCCGTTTGCATAGCCTTTGTTTTTGTTGACATTGCTGTTTATTTCTCTGCCATTCTTTCCACTCCCGCTTAGCACCCGTTCCGAGTGCAGTGCCAAGTCTTTGCGATGTTTTGCATAAATTTCGAAGCGCAGCAGACGCACTGGCAAACAAACACATGTACTCGGCACAAACATGCCTCAGACAGCAACAAATTTGCAAAATATTCCCAGCTATAACCTTCTCTTTCCGGTCTCCCTCGGCTCGCTCTGTTTGCTGTGCGAGCTCATGCAGACTTTGTTTTAACTTTGAATTGCATAAATTTTAATTATTTCGAAAGCACTAAATTAAAACACAACAAGAACGGAAGCTAACTTCGGCACGCCGAAGTTTTTATACCCTTGCAGATTGGTTTCGATGTTTATATTATAGATTTAAATGCTGAAAACACTCACAAAACAGAGTTTCATTACATTTTACCTATACTTATTATGTTTACAGTTTGACAGTTACAGTTTTACATTCCCAGCTTTACATATTTTATACATTTGCCGATCGCTTCTATGGCAGCTATATGATATAGTTGTCCGATTTTTATAAAATTTATATCAAAATTCTAGAATAATAAAAAAAGCTTATAACTTAAAGTAGATGAAAATACGTTGAAAAACAACGAAGTTATAATTTTTTTTCGATTAATTTCCCGATCGTTCCTATGGCAGCTATAAGATATAGTCGTCCGATTTTCATAAAATTTTTACCAAAATTCTTAAATAATATAGAATGGCCATATCTAAAAAATGGTGCAAAAATGTTGAAAAACAGCAAAGTTATAATTTTTTTCTAAAAATATATCGAACATTTGTATGGCAGCTATATGATATAGTCGTCCGATCCGGCCCGTTCCGACATATATAGCAGTGAGAGCATATAGAAGACTATATGCAAAGTTTCATTCAGATAGCTTTAAAACTGAGGGACTAGTTTGCGTAGAAACAGACAGACGGACAGATGGACAGACGGACAGACGGACAGACGGACAGACGGACAGACGGACAGACGGACAGACGGACATGGCTAGATCGACTCGGCTGTTGATGCTGATCAAGAATATATATACTTTATAGGGTCGGAAAGGTCTCCTTCACTGCGTTGCAAACTTCTGACTGAAATTATAATACCCTGCAAGGGTATAAAAATAAGCACAAAGGCACACACAGAGAGCGGGCGAGAGAGACATCAGCAGAGCGGATGGCAAATGCAAATATTATTTAATGGGCAGATGTGTCGTATACGTGATATTATTGCTAAACACAACATGGGCTATCCGTTCCCTGCCCCTGCCGCGTTAACCCCGATGCGTGGGCTCAAATGTCACAAATTAGCTAAATTTGATTTTGTCAGCGATTTAATTTTATATTTTCATTACCCTCAGCTTGTTGTCCCTTCTCTCGGTTTGGCTTCTGCACTACACCCGTCAGCAGCCCTAATTTATGTGCGCTGGGGGGCTGTTCGGCTGACACGACGCACACAAACTCGACATTCGACTTTCTCGGGTGTGCATATTTGTAATTCCCGCTCCAGTGCTGCCCTCTCACCCGGCAGAACGTAAACCAAGTCAACTGGCTTACAAGACACTAACAAGTGCCAAAGTCGGGCTGAAGTGCGCCAGAGGAGCGGTCCAAGAATGTAGTAGCTGTTGCTCCAAGACGCCAACTGAGCACAGACAGTTTGGTAACTGTCTTGGCGAGGATTACACTGGGCTACAAAGCATCTGAAGCGCCTGTCTGAATTGTCTAAAAGAACTACATATCGAAATAATATAAAAGCTCCAGATCAATGCTGTTAGGAGTATAAGCAATACCCTAAGTAGTTATATTATCCCAAAAGACTACAACAAATATTTTCATAATCTTCTTTGAATATTTTCTAAGCTAAATATAAACTTTTCCATGATATATCACAGATTTTAACTAACAAAAAATCCAGTTAAAAACAATTCAGGACATGTATTTAGGCCAGTTAGACGCCAAGTGTCGAGTTAGGCTAGTAAATTTGATCTAGGTCCTGTCTAGGAATTCATGGTGTGCCCACTAGCAGCCAAGTCAAATTGAAATAAAAAGGATGTGGAATGAGCAAAACACTTCCAGCGCCGTAACTCAGGGCAAACAAGTGAGCCACTGTGCACACATGTACATCCATCCATCCATCCGCCCAGTGCCACGAAAAGACAGTCTCACATCTCGGCCTGGGCTGTCATTAGCCAGCATTTTTAATTGCATATGCTAGTTCCATGTGTGTGTTTTTGTGTTTGCCACCGTACAGGTGGCACTGGGGCAAGGCTCCGGGGGGACCAAAGGACGCAGCCCCCGGCGCAGTCAAATTCGTTTGACTTTTTGTGCCCCACAGTCATATCTCAGGGTGCGTGCGGAACAACTAAGGACGGCGGCGAGGCAGCGGAGAGGCATGCTTTTTGTGCACATTTGTTTCATTTCATGCTGCTCCATTCATTTTGCTCAGCATTGCTTTTTTGCTGCTCGTCCCATTGTTGCTGTTTGTCTTGCCTGCCAAGAGTCGCGAGACTGAGCCAAGTTTGTGTGGCCTTCGTCCTTGCTGGCCGCGTTTTGTTAACCTGCTGATGCTGCTATTGCCGTAGGAGTATTTGGATTGTAAGTAATGCGAGTGGGTTGCGGGCTCCATGTGCACTCCAGCGGCACTCGTCTAATTAGACAAAGTTGAGACCGAGCCGCACAGCAGCCACTCGAAATGAGCACACGGCGCCGTTCGCTGCGGTTCGAGTATGGTGGTATTATCTTAAAGACTCCTTAAAGTGCGTGTGTGTATGTGTGTGTATCAGCTCTCACTTTGATGTCTCTGTCATTCCACAAAAAATGCCACAGAATTTGCTTTGGCAACATTGTTTACGCCGCAGCACAGGCTCGGCACACGGAAAATATTCAGACAAAGCCTTCGAAAACAAGAAGCTGTAATATTATTAACTAAACCACGAAAAAGCAAGGAAAAGTATTTCAGAAAGTGTTTGGTATATCTTTAAGCCTGGAAAGAAGAAGGCAAATTGTAAAATATAAAAGAAGTCATCTAGATATTTTCTATAGTCAAAAAGTAAACAATTTTATATTATATCATAATTAAAATAGCCAAGAAAAATTTTTTTTTTCCCTTCTTTTGAACTTTGAAAAATGCAAATACAAATATTAAAAAAACTTTTTTTTCTGTGTTCACTCGCACACACACGTGCAGACTGGCCCACGTACTCTAGCAGCCATTCTCGTGAAGCCTCAATGTCAACGCTGTTCATTCATTTGTCGCCGCACTTCCGTTTCCTGTCCCCTCTGCTCCGTGATCCACTGAAACCGCTCCCCTTCGAAGAGGTCTTCCGCCTTTTTTGTCGGCTGCTGGGCCACACACACAGGCTGGCAACATTTTTGCGACTTTTGACATTTTTTAATGCTGTCAGGCATGGCGTGAAAGTAAACGTGAAAGGCCACAGCCCCGACAAGCACACACACGCACAGGACAGGGCTCAGGACACGGCACAGGCAGACACACATAGACGCACTAGAGCCGCCTTAGTTTGTGCGTCTTTATGGCTCAAAGACGCCACACAAATGTGACATAAAAGGCGATAATAATAAAATATCACTGGGTGCTCGTCGGGGCGGGGCGGCCACGTCAAATAACAAACTGCAAAATCGTAAACAACAAGCGGCGAATGAGAGTGCGGGGTGCCAGCGCTAGATGGCGCTCAAGATTCACTTGTACAATAAGTCGGACTGGGACGGACCACAATAAAGGCGACTCGCACATAAATTCCAGCGAAATGCGCTATAAAAATTAAGAAATTGTTGAATTATTTTACGTTTACGAGCGGAAGGGCGAATGGGGAGCGTGTCCCCGTAAAGTGAATATTAATATTGAAATGTCCCAGTCGCCAGTCGCTCAAATGTCCTTGTTGTTCCTTGTTCGGTTCCTGTTTGTATCGCCTCTTGTTGTTGTGCTTCTGCCGTGGCTGTTGCTGTTATTGTTGTATTGTTATTATTGTTCATATTGCTATTTTATTAGATGCCATTTGTTTCCTTATCAGCGCACAGTTGGCCACGCTTTCGATATGTACTTATTTGCTAATGGTTCTCTTTTCTTTTCGCCGCTCAAATAATAATTTGCAACTCTGTTATGATGTCATTTTGCAAGTGTTGTGAATATCTGAAAAGCAATGACAACAAAGCAACCAACCAACCAAACAAGCCAAAACTAATCGGTATAAACAATTTGCTTTTGTTTCTCTATTCCTGGACACTCACACTCACACTCACACTCACCCGCTCACCCATTACTCACTCTCATGAATTTATATCCTTACCCCAACTCGCACACTCACTCACCGCACACACACACCCATTCACATATGGTCTCGGCATTGTTGTTGATTTTGTTTTATACCAACCAACCAAAGTGTATATTGCAGACCCGGATCTGATATTGCCGCGCGGCGAATTGGAATTTACGACCCTGGATCCAACGCTGAAGTAATTGTAAAAAGTAATAATAAACATCTACCATAGTGAGCCAACAACCTACACACGCCCAGCCACACACAACACACCAAACACAGACACAGGCCTCATAATTCACGGGCATTTCATTTAACATAGCTGTAAATTTTTAGCATAAATTTAAATGCATTAGCGTTAAAGGTAATACGTATTACGTTACGTTATATACGGGCAAGAGATAAGGATAAGCCATTTTGTAAGTGTCAGAATCAAAATATATACAATTCGGAGACAAAGCGAAGCCCTAATAAAAACGCTACAAACTTGTAACTGAAATCAAAAGCAAAGAAACCTGTAAATAGCCTACATCACACATGAAACACCATACACCACACACCAACACGATATACACACCCCCCCTGGACCCACATAGACATCATTCAGAAATCGTTGCTGTTGCACCATCGACTGTACATAGAGAACGGGCAAACATTAATCAAACTGCATTTAAATGTTAAATATTAATTGTAATTAATGAACAACTAGCTAGTAAGTCATTAGCTAATTAAGTCGTGTGTATCGAAAGTGTAATTAGGACTCATAGAGCTCGACGGCTGGCAACCAGCCGAGAGATATTGGTTATCACAGCAAACGCCCAGCAAGGCAAGGAGCCAATACAGAGCAACCGTTCATCAGTCTCTGTCTGCATTAGGATATAGGTTATAGGATCCATTAGCAGTTAGAGCCCCCCTGACCGAGGGCGAATCAAAAGTTTTCGGCGTCAGCTACACCTATTTCTGGACCACTTTCCGGGCCACGCCCTTCGACTTCTTCTTTCCGATCCGATCTGACAGCCGCTATTTATGGCACTTCATGAATATTCTATTGCCACGAGATGAATAACGAAAGCCAAACGGAGCAGCGCCGCCAAGTGGGCGGCATTCGTGTGTTCGAGTGTTCGAGTGCATAATGAATAAATGTCGAGTAAACAGCCAATTCCCAGAGTCCACTAGAGCAGCATCAACAATTCCACACGCCAGAGCGGCTACCAACCACTCCACAGAGCAGCACACAAGCAACCAGAGTGAATTCATTGTAAATGTTATAAATAACTAAAGTAACCCGCAAAGTACGGCAAGGAAAAAGTAATAATAATAATAATAATAATAATACGCCATACAGTTTACACAATACTCCAATGTAATTCGAATTCTAATTTCAAATATACAAACATAAAGTGAAACGGCAGACTAGCAAAATATACAGTGCGTATGCGTAATAAAATAAATTGAAATATATATATATAGGTACATACAATTTAAATGGAATCATCGGGGCACGGGCCTCGCACCCGTTCCCCGTCTCTGTCTCTGTCACTCTGGACAAAACCAAACTGATTGTTTTAAGCAAAGTTAGATTTATAAATAAATTAAATTTAAAATCGACGAGAGTGTGGCGCAAAGCAAGCTCAAAACGGACATACATTATAACTAAGTCGAAACTACTGAGTGTGTTAATAATAATAATACTGAATACTGAATAAATAAACAAGATTCAAAGCAAGCCAGTGTCGTCGCGTGTTCAAATCAATTCCAATTAGGCCGCCCGCCCCGCCCATTCGGACATCAAAGGCGGGGATTAATGCCGCTGCCGGGTTGGATGGAGCTCCCATCCGGCTTTCCCAACTTTTGCCAAGGGTTAAGTGTTATTAATGCCGAGCAAATCCTGCGGCGCTGCATCCTACCCGTCTGCAGCCTGATTGCCACTTGAGGCGCGTAATCGAAACACTGGCAAGGCGGTCGGTCAATGGAGACCGAGAACGCCTTCATTACTTTGCCTCTTAGTGCCCCTCCGCCTCCTTCTTTGACTGTGCGCCCCAAAGCCAAACACGAGCGCTCCGCCCAAAGCCAGCGATTCGAATTAAGGAGCCATGGAGCTGGCGGGGAATGAGTGAGCTGGATTGGATTGGGCGATTGGGCCAAGGGGGGAGGCGAGGCTCTAGCGGCCTTGGCATGCACAAGAGATTAAAACAGTTGGGAGAAATTTGCAGAGCGTGGGCCGACCATCTCCCAAGAAAGTTAAGTTTTGCAGTGAAACTTTCTGCGAATGCAAGCGCCTGTTTGTCGTAATTTGTTGCACACTTTTTAGGGCGCAAACTTGGCATAGAGATGGGAATGGGACTTCGGGACCATTCAAACTGAATTAGGACAATCGATTGGTAATGGAACACCCACCCCGACTCTTATGAATTCCGGGACATGCTCAAGCCGGAGCTTAATTTCAAAATGTAACTCGGAATCTGCATTGTGGTTTCTCGCAATCCCAGAAACCTCCTTGGCGGCAGAAGCGGAGAATTCCCCGCAATTTAGGTTGGCACGTGCGGATTTACTTTTCACTCTACTTTCCAGCTTACCTTCGCCAGTGCCCAGTGCCCATTGCCTTTGCGTTGCTTTTGTTGTCAATTTCATGGCGTTTTCATTTGCTGCCAACCACTTTCGTTGCAGCTTCTCTCCGCAATTGCCTGGAATTTTAAGTTCTCATCCGGTCCGAACGCACTTTGCAGCACTCGGACTAAAAATAAAGCCACATAAATCCGAAGATTTGTTGCCAAGTGGGCAAATCGAAATGGAATCCCAGGGTCACCACCCCACCACTTGTACAGATTCTGGAGCTGGAGATGGAGACCGAACTGCTGGCGTTCCTTGGAACCAGAGTGACTGCTTAGCCGCAGCATGCTTAAATAAATTAAATGACGCCCCTGGCCGGGCCGAGTCCTTTGCCATTCAAAGTGCGCTGTCACAACTCACGGAGGCATGCTTAGTCCGGACAGGGCTGTTGAAATATTAATGCCCTCCAATCTGAGCAGCTAACTTGGCTTGGTTTTTAGCCATTTTTAGGTAGCTAAGTTCAGAAAATAATAAAGCTTATTGTTTTAAAAACCAAATGCTTTAGATAAGTAAAATAATTATCCAATAACTGATTGAGAAATATATATTATTTATGCAATATTATCAATCCAAAGAATACTAACCTTTTTTAAGCCTTAAACATAGACTTAGTATAAGAAAATATTAATTACATTTAATTTTGATTGTAATTTAAGCAACATCTAGCTTCCATTGATATCTGTCTCACTTCAGATTCGGTAGTGAGCAGCACTGAATGGAAAATGGAGAACGGAAAGCGGCCAATTCGATGGCACTTGGATACCATAAAGGCCAGTTTGGAATTCAATTAGCAGACGACTGACAACTGGGCTGGTTTTCCTGCTGGCCCCTGCCGGTCCTGTTGGTCGTCCTGGTGAAACTCATAACGGCTTCGATTGAGCGCGGCGATTATTGCTATCCCTGCCTTGACAGCTGCATGTCGCCACAGCAGCAGAAGAGGGCCACTTCTCGGCCTGACATTCATGGCAGTCATAAGAACAGCTCCCAAAAAAGGGCGGGGAGGCTGCTCAAATGCCGGGAATGCCGTAAAAATGTTTTCGTTTTTGCGCTCGCCAGCGTTGCTGCTGCTCCTCTGCTCCTTTTGTCAGCAGTCATCCGCGTTGTCGTCGTCATTTCAGCAGATGCTGGAATAATGATACCGGCGCCTGCGAAGCGAGCAATCAGCCCGCTTTCGGATCTGTGCCAAGGACATTTGGTATGTGGGTACCATTGTTTTGACTACAACGGTCTCCGCGTGTGGTTCTGTTTCGTTGGGGATGTGTGTGTATGAAAACGGCGCTTCAATTTAGACATTTTCAACGTTTATTTTGCAACAGCTGCCTTAGGTCTACGCGGAACGAGAACTCTTAAGTTACGGAATTTATTATGCACTCCGCTCTTATAATTTGATATTTAAAGAAATCATTTTACGGCGGTAGCTGTGTCTGCTGGTGATGCTGCTCCTGCTGCTCCCGGTGCTCCTGCTGCTGCTCCTGTTCGCTTATATAATTTAAAAATCGCGACGCTTTTTGTATGCAATGCAATTATTCTCCATTTACAATGCACTCAGCGCGAAGTAAGCAAACAAACAAACAACGGCTTGAATGGCTCGGATGCGATGGGGGTAGGGAAGGCAGGGAAAAGTGTGGAAAAGTCGCGGGAAAATGGTAAGGGCGCAGCACAAGCAGACAAGTAAATAAAATTGCAAATAAAGTAAAAATGTTGAAATGCCAAAGAAATGCACGGTACATATTTTACATTTATTCATTCGCTGATTCTGAATCTGCTTTAGCTTTTGTTGTTGCTCCCCTGCTGTGGCTGTTGTTGCTCCTCCTGCTGCTGCTGCTCCTCTTGCTCCTCCTGCTGCTGCTACTGCTCTTTCGTCCTATTCCCCTTGGCTCTCTTTTGGCTTCCTTGGCTGAGTGGGACAAAAGCGACGATGGGCGGCATGTCCTCACGCCTGTCGCCTGCTCCTGGTAAGCCGAGCGTTAATAACAACGCTTATCTGTGGCATTAGGAGCAAGCCAAGCAGCAGCCAGCGCCAACCCAAAGCCCCCATCCGCTTGGCAGATGCGACAAAAAATGATAATGAAAAACTGAAATAAAAGCGCAGCGGCAGCGCTAGCAGACAAACAAACAAACAAACAAACAGACGGCAACGGCAAAAAAATAAGCAGAATACGAAACAGACAAACAACACAGAGCGGAGCCGAACAACTGAACAACTGCCCGGGGTTGGAGGACTACATAATTTAAGCTGCCATTGCCTTAGCAATTGCTGGTGCTGCTGCTGCTCGTGTTGCAGCTACTGCTGCTGCCTGCATCGCTGCTGGCGTGACAACTTCAACTGACAGCCGCAGAGCAGAGCCATCATCCATTATCAGCAGTTGGCCATCTTAAAGTGCAGCAGAAAAAGAGGGGCATTGAAATGGTAGGTTCAATCGACTTTATGGTACCGTAGGTCAGGAATTAGAAGTAATTTCAGTTGAGTTGCAATTAATTAAAATTAAATAAAATTAAATAAAATAAATGTGTAGAAAATAATAAATAAAGTAGGTCTAAATTAATAAACAAAATTTGTATAAAATGTTAAAAGCAAATCTGCCAAAACTAACAACCAATAAAAGTAAATTTGTAGGGTAATTTTTTATCTAATTCAAAGTCAACTAAAAACATGAATGACTAACTAACATTTTTAATAATTTCAACTTTTAAATATAAAAAATATATTCAAGCTTCAACTCTTTTAAATTTTTAGTTTCTGTGAATAAACTAGTTAAAGAGTTACTTATGCTTTTACAAGAAATTTAAATAACACTCTTCCCATCCAAAATATCCGTAATATACCTTGCATAACCCCCATTTTCCGTGGTATTACTCCGACATCAGGACAGGAAGCGAACGGGAAAAAAAGCAACGCGGACAACGGGTGGCCACAACAAAAGCAGCAACAAAAGCACCGGCAGCAGAAGCCCCACAAACTGTAGCGACGGCATTGTTTTAATGCATTTGAAGCAGCAGCAGCAGTAGCAGCAGCCGTAGAAGGACCAGGACCAGCAGCAACAAAAAAGGACGCCTGGAGGATGCGGGTCCGGCTGTGGCAGATTCCCCCGACGATGGCTGATGGCGGTGGCGTATACGCACTATGTGCCACATTACGTATACGTAATACGTATACGGTGCGCTCTACTTGCCCCCGCCCGGCTCGCCCGCGGTACTCCCGCGCTGCTGCTGGTACGCCGATGGCCCTGAGGAGTCCTTAACGGTAAACGTCACATAGTACCGTTTGTTGCTGTCCAGCTTCTCCGCCGGCAGTGAAATTAGCTGTTTATTTTTGCCATGTGACAGCTCCAGGGCCACCTTGTGATTGCAGCGACTGCCACCGCCCGCACTACCACCGCCCGTGCCACCTGCCCTGCCGCTGGAAGCGCGGCCGCTGGTCAGGATCTTGGGCAGGAAGAAGCTGCTCACGCTACCCGTCTTCTTGTACGGTCCAAAGCCGAACTTTGGCATCGTGTGGTGATTCATCATGGGAACTGCAAGACAGAGAACAGGACAAGACATTAGATTAATGATCGGGGGGATGATCGGCCAACTGACAGGTGTCCTGCAGGAGCGCCAGACGACACTCAGCAGAAATGGCCATGGTAAAAACTAATAAAGGAATGGCTGCGCTTTTGGCTGCCGGATTAAGGACCTTTTCGGCGGGGATTACCACCTTCTTTGTGTCAGCAAAATAACTGTTTGTAAACAGTACCCTGTGATGGACAGGACGAACGGAGGCGGATGGAGGGCACAAATGAATGCGTTTTTAATTTGCCATAAGCCGGGACGCATCCTTTGAAGCTCTCGGGCTCCGGCAGTGCCGAATGGCGAATGGCGAGTGCCGAGTGGAAGATGTAATAAAAGTGGAAAGCCAGAAAGGCGGCGGCGGGTCGGGTCGAGTCGAGTCGAGAATATTTTTAATTTGCCGCGCAGTGAATAAACTGCTCGTAATTAGGATTTATATTTTTATGCCCTGCAGCTGGCGAGCAGCTGCTTTGAATTCGAGTGTCTGTCCCACGCTTGACCCAGTGCCGGCGAAAGTGTTGCCAACGAACGATTCGCCTCTTTGGCCCGGCCAAAAGCCTGTCTGGTGCCATTTTTCACGCTTGCACAGAGCCGCTTAAAGCCCTCAAGCAAACGGAACAAAATGCTGCCGAGCTACACAGAAAAAATACAGAAAAAACAATGTTTCGTAAAGTTGTAAAATTACTTGAGCTTTTCAAATTAATAAAAGAAGAAATTCATTTTCTTTATATCTGCTTCGTTAAGTGTTGGATAGAATAAACAATTGAATGGCAAAGTAATTAATCTAACTTGTGACAAAGACTATTTTTTTTTTTTTGTCCCTGCATTTAATAACTAGATTACTCACTGTAGGCGGCACACGGGATGCCCGTGTAGGCGTGGGCCGCATGGAGGCAGCGGTGCGTCTTCGTGGTGCACTGCAGCGCCTTCTCGTAGGCATTGTAGTCCGGACTTAGGCGCCGCTCCGCCTGAAAAATATAGAAAGGGGATAAGCAGGCTGGAAAGGATAGGCAAGCGGTGTTGATCCCACCTCCTCGTAGACCTCGTTGATGTTCTGGAAGTTGTTGGTGCCCGGCCGCTGGAGTCCCTTGAGCGTTTCGTAGAGGAAGAGCTCAAAGTTCTTGAACGTGAACTCGGTGAAGTTGTAGCGCCTCAGCCGCGTTCCCGTCTCGCTGCCAAGGAGCACGCAGGACTTGTGGTAGTCGTCAACGGCGCGCTTCACCAGCACGGACTCGTTGAGCTTGCTGGAGCGGATCTGGAGCGATTTGAGCTCCAGCAGATGCTGGAAAATCTTGCGCTCCATGTAGTATCTGCAAACAGAGAAGTGAATGAGATTGGAAGCCATAAAGAAGGTCGAATGAAAAGCGCAGACAGTGGTCTTTGTTTCAGGGCACCACCATTGTGTTGGTCGTCATCATCATGATTGGGTCGGGTTTTCCGGAGCAGCTAGCAAAATAAATGTTGGCAAATGTACGTATATTGTCATTTTGATATCCTCACGACTCAAAGAAAGGCGAAGTCGCCTGCTGGGCCCCACAAAGGTCCTTTCTTTTGCCTTCTCCGCTCTCACAGAAGCTGCTCCCTGGCACTGCTCGAGCGCAATAAAAGGCATCATGTTATTAAAATTTCAAAAATACTAAAGTGCGTACGCGGAAAAAATTCTATTAATAATTGAGGCCGGGCATAAAGGAAGCGAGTCAAATTAAAGCCAACGCCATCGGCAGGCACCCTCTATGCCATAAAATGTTATTAGAAATTTTATTAAAAATTAGGCAAACAGCCAGCCGGGTTGCTTTAAGGGATCTGCATCTTGCGCGGACCCCTCGAAAGTTGCTCCTTTAACTCGGCTTGCGGGCCAGCGAGTTTTCTAAATCAACTGGCAGCCGAAACCTTTGGCGCGGGAAGCGCATTCACCGAAAAAACTAAGCAAATTTGTCGAGTGCACTCGGTGCTTAAAAGCTGGCGGAAAGCGAAAAGCAAGAGCGGCGTTTTCGGAAAATTGTTTGCACAGCACACCGGCTGGAGGAGACCGCTTGACACTGCTCGCCACTTGGCTGCGCCTCGCGAAATTATGCAAAACAATTTGACTTTGAAACAAAAGTTCATTGGCCAAGCGGCGGGCATCGACAGGGGAGGAGCCTGCCGAGTGCCAGGTAATAAATGGCCAAGAATCCTTGTGCACCAAAAGCTGCGTAATAAATTGGCCAAGGGCCCAAGGAATCCCGCAGCGCGACTTCAAAGCCGGCCATCGTTCTTCCGCTTGTTTTACCGCCGCCGCCGCCACAGCGGTCATCTTCATCTCCATCTTCATCGCCATCTCCATCTTCATCAGTAGGGGAATCAGCATCCTTATCACCATTCCCTTGCTTATCCTGGCCATCGTTGTGGCCATCACTTGTTTGCCGAAGCGCTTTTCAATTTTACGCCTCGCTTTTGGCTTCGTTCGGTTGCGCTTGAGTTCTTTGCAAGTCTTTCTCGCTTTGTGCAAATACTTTTTGCAGTACTGTCCTTGGCACACTTTCAGCCCAGCCATTGCCCAGGCCCACCGCCCCCGCTGCCACCGAGTGATACTGATTTCCGTTTCCGCTTTACGTTCGCCTAGTACAACTTTCATTTCATTTTCTTGTGCGCGTTGATTTTGTGTGCCACATTTTTCCACTGCAACCGCTCGCAGCGAACTGTCCTGCCCACTGGCCCCCACACCTCCTAACACCACCCACCGCCCGGCTCTTCCTGTTTGTGACACAAATGTGACAGGCAAAAAGTGCACGCAGCGCCAAAGTGGATGAAGTGGAAAGCCCGCCAGCGGCAAAGTCAGCACCATCACCACCTCCATCACCAGCACCAACGTAGGCGCACTTTTCTGAAGCGCTGACAACGACAACGACAACAGAATGCAAAGAAATTAAGCGCTGCACAAGTTGCAACAACGAATTCCCGCCCGGCGGCAATTTGCGCGGGACAGCAGGCAACAAAGGCGGGGGACGGCACAAACCAGAACCTTTTGCCAAGTGTTAATGGTTTTGGCCAGAAACTGAAACTGAAACAGAATCAGACGGTAGAAGAGGCGGCCGGATGGCTTGGCAAAGACGTGGCCTGCATAACTGCACACCTGCCGAGCACCGCCTGGAAAATCGATGGCCGCCAAAAAGTGTTGACAAAGTCGCACACCCTCATGGAATCCGTGAAAAGTCTGCGGCTGGCTTTGCACTCCGACGGGCAGTCCTTCAGACTTCGGGAAAAACTTTTCCGCTTCATTTTTCATTACGGCTATATTTCTGAGCCCGCGCTTCAAACTTCGCCAAGTGCCTGGCCAAAAGCCTGACTGGCGAAATCCAAGAGAACCGGCGGCTTCATCAACTTTATCGCCGGGCGGAGCAGTTTAAGGTCGCAAATGAAGACAGCGGGCAGTTTAAATTAAACTAATCGGAGGAAATTGAGAGATAACTCAGGAGGCAGTTCTCAAAAAGTTACTTTTTATTTAAGGCTTGAGCTAATATCGAATTAATCAATGAAATTTGTGATCATTTGAGATTTGTATGTAGAAACCTTCCTTCAAAGGGGTTCGTGAATTTCTAATAGTAAAATTGCCTCCTTTACAGCGTTTGAAACTTCTTACTAAAATAATACCCTGCGTTAGGATATAAATTTTCCCAAACAAAGCTAGTTCCAAGTAAAACGACCAACAAATATGCCTAATTCCATCACGCACCGCTGCAGGACCACAAAAATCATCCGCAAGGAAAACGAAATCCAAATATTTAACAATGTCAATTACGAGAACGCACATTATAAATCCCAAATCTCACCTGTGCTGCTGGGACTCGAGGCACCCACACACACCTCACACACACTCATTCTGGCAGACAGACACACGCAGCCCCGGTAAGTTATTTGTTTAATTTATGCGTCAGATAAAATTTTAATCTCTTCGGAGCCGAAACGAGGAAACAAAATAAAGTTGCAGGGGCGCAAGGACGACGGACTGGGCTGGTGGTCTGTCCGTGTGAAAAGCGTGCGAATGCAAAATAAAATGAAAAATACAAAATAAAATAAAGTCTCTATTTACACACTTTTCATGGCATTCGCCCTGCGAAGCCCGCTCTGTCCAGAGTATTCAACTGGGAGCCATGGATTCACTTCACTTCACTTTTTTCTGTGTTTTTTGCGTTACTTCCGTTCTTCGGGCTTCGAGTAAATTCTATTTGGATTTTTCGCCACCCCGATGCTCGCCGTAGATTCGCTGGGAATTAATTGACTCACCCCGCCGACTTGTTGAGGAACTTGTTCGGAAAGTTGCTGAGCAAGACACTTGTTTGACTTTCGGTTTTGCGTACATTGCGTATACGCCGCGTATTGCCGGAACCTCAAACTGGCGGAATCTCTGGCTCTGGTTCCGGGCTTCGACGGAACCCGTGGTGACTCCTGGCCCGACTTGGCCTGCTGCTCCGGCTTATGCAAACAGCCGAGTTAAATATTTTCATTAGTCAAGTGGAAAGAATTATTTATGAAATGCGCTCGCTCGCCGGCCGGATTTCGCCTCTGTTTTCGCCCCGTTATTGTTTTGTTTTGTTTTTCTTTCTCGGTGAATGTTTGCAAATTTATTCATGGGCTACAAGGCAGATTAGCAAAATTAATAAAAGTCAGCTTACGCTTTTTAATTAAGTTTTGCGGCCGGGCTTATGCAAATACCATAAATAAATACAATTGACTTTTAAGTTGGTGGAGCAGCCTACAGGGGAGTAGCTAACATAATCGATCTACGCCGCCACCTCTTGACAAAATGACAAATTAAATTACCGGCACACGAGCTCCATCGCTACTAGTGTGAGCTTATGGCCAATTCCTGGCAATTCAGTCCCGGGACACAAAGGGATTTCCGCCAACAAGCTTGCAAACGAAGAGCGAACACAAATGGTAATGGCCTCGTTCTCGTCCTGATTCTCATCCTTGCCTCTTTGAGGACCTCTAAAAATGCTCTCGCTAATCTGCACTAATTCCATTTACAATTAGCATTAGCGAGTTGTAAACGAAGCCAAAGACTTTGCTACACTCCGACTGCCTTCCTGGTTGCCTGGCTGCCTGCCTGCTTGCGGCTAATTTTCATATTTTGTTCAAGTTTCTGTATAAACAAAACATCGCACCGCAGGTGGGCGCCCTCCGTCCTTGCCCCATTCAACCCTTCTGGGCCGATTCTGTGCAGCTAATTAAAATGCGCAACTCTTTGCCGGAAATGAGCATTTCGGCTAATGACAGCGGACGAGATTCGGAGCATTCGAGGGCACTGGAATAAATCAGCCAGGATATTAGCCGGCCTCGCCGAGTGAACTCGGACTTGACCTAATTATGATTTATAATCCACCTTTGGGTAATTAAGAGACCCAATAAGAGGTAACAAAGCGTATCGGCGAATTGAATTAAGCCCTCTTGTCACCAACGACATCCACCTGTTATGCTTGAGGTTTAATGTCATAGTTCATGCTCCAGTACATGGTAAATGAACATTAATGCCGCGTTTATTGCCTTTAACCGCATTATAATAACTTTAAAGCGCGCCTCTTTATGGCGAACGGAAGCCGGGCAATTTATTTGCTGACCAGCGCAACAATGGAGCCTCGCAGCAAAAAAAAAAGGAGGAAAGAAAGAAATGAGAAATGCGGCCCAGGCTATTAAATCCCTGGCTAAATTAACTTTAAGGCGGCAGCTCCATCGAGTCCGGCTCCGTCTCCGTCTCCGGCCCGGCTTCTGCTCCTTCTCCGGGTCTGGGCAGTTTGATTACATTAAGAGCCGCCGCAGCCACAACTGCGGAGCTGAAGTGCGCGCGTGATATAATGCGATCCGGGCAGCGGGACATTCAAGTTGATTAAAATCAAGCATCAAGTAAATAAATCTACGGCCGAAAAGACGGCGCTCGCCGGCGCCACTAACTGCCTGGAGATTAATTTAAATGAATGAATCTCGCCATCAACTCTCCAGGGCTCGCGCCTCGCAGCTCGAACTGCAGCTCACACTCGAAGTCCTGCCTCATTTAAGGTCAATCTGTAATGCTTGTTCCCACAGAGACCTAACGAAATTTACACCTGGCCCATCCCATTTTTATATTTATAAAATATAAATTAATAAGGCAAACTCACCTGCGGATATTCCGCTGAATGGACCTGGTCACGGCGCCCATGTCGCAGGCTCCCTTGTCGCCTGGCTTGCGGTTCTCCAACCGACTGCTGCAGGAGCGTCCGTCCAGGGTGGCATAGATGGGCCGGCGGGGCATGTGGGCAGACCGGAGGGTGGGGATCTTGCTGCGTTCTGCCCGTGGACTTGGCTCGAAGCCAGAGTCCTGATCCTTACTAGTGGTCAGTGCGGCAATGCTGCTGCCTCCGTCGCGGGATTCCTGACCGCTCTTCCAGTTGCTGCGAGTCTTGGTGCCGCTACGCACACGCTTCTTTAGGCGACGCTTGCGTCCATTGCCCATGCCCTCGGTGTTGTCATCTCCAGGTCCGGCTGCGCCTCCTGGTGCTGCTCCTCCTGAGTTGCCCACACCATGGCGATTACCGCTGCTCAGGAAGCGACGCAGGGCACTGTCGTGCTCCGGATCTATGGCATCTGCCTCGTCCTCATCGTACTCATCGTCATACTCCTCGTACTCGTACTCCATCTTCTCCAGCTCTGAGGCACTCGGCAGCTGGACAATGGAATTGCCTTCGTTTACCACTTGAAATACTTGATTGCTGACATTGCGTCCGGGTCTCTTGGGATCCTCCGACTCGCCCAGGGAGTCGTCGCTCTTCAGCACCTGGAAGCTCGATTTTCGCTCGGCGGCGGGCTCATCGGAAGCTGTACCTGCATTTGGAGACGGGTTTGCAACTGGGTCATCGTCCGCCGAGTCGGAGGGCAGGAGTGTGAAGGAGCGCCTCGACTCCTGTTCCCGTTGCGGTTGCTCCTGTTGGGTGGGCGTCTGGGAGTTTGTAATGGGAGTGGGAACAGGAGCAGGGGCAGAAGCAGGAGTAGGTCGTGGTTGTTGTGCGGTTGTAGGCTTTTTTGCATCTGTTGAAGGAGTGGGAGTGGGCGTGGAATTGGGCACCGAAGGGGGTGTGGGAGTGGGATTGGGCTTTGGTCTGGCTTCAGCCTGCTCCATCTGCTCGCGTTTTTTGCCAGCAGATGCTGGTTTTGAAGCCTCAGATTCAACCCCTTCTGCGACGGTGGTATTCGGCTGCGGCTGTGGCTTCTCTGCGGCTGTCTGTGGCTTGGCAGCCTCCTTTTCGGGAGCTGGTGGCTCTGAGGGCGGGGCAGGCTCTGTTGGAGCGTCAGGCTGTGGGGTTTCCTTAAACTCCTTTTCAGGTTTTTCCGCTGGGGATTCGCTTTTCTTTTCCGGAGGCTTCTCTTCACTGGAACTCTTCGACTCGCTGCTCAGGGCCGTAGCTGCTATTTTGATCACCTGCTCCACCTCCTTGGACACCAGCTGGGTCTCCTCTTCGCTCAACTGCACCTTAGCCTCCTCCTGAGGAGAAGGTGCCTCTGCACTGGGCAATTCCTCGGAAGACTTTGAGGTAAGCTGCTCGGCATCGTAATGGACATCCACCTGTGTCACCACCGACTTGGCCGCCTCGGGCTCCTCGTCTGTTAGCTCAACTGCATGGGATTCCTCCACCAGAAGGGTGTCCATGAGGGGAGACTTATCGCTCTTGGCACTCTGCGGTGGCGACTTGATGAAAGTGCCCTCCTTGGTGGGAGGTGTCTGATGTCTGCTGGCGGATGGAGGCCTCTCCTTGGTGTTAGGCTGCTCTTTGGGATTTCCAGGCTTCTGTTCTCCGTTGACTGATATGGATTTTCGGGAACCCTTCTCCGGCGACGATTGTACGGTGTGATTCGCCTCGTCCTCATCACTATCCCGACGGTCTTTGGACTTCCTTGAGGATGTGGAACGCTTGCGTGAAACCACTCGTTCCTTCTGCCGCTTGTGGTAACAACAATTCTCGCAAGAGTCCTCGTCGTCCTCGCCATCCTCCTCCCACTCGCTGGAGCTGGCATACCGCTCGCGTGACTTGCGCCGCCTGATCTCGATGTTGCTCTTGGAGCGGCAGATCTCGCTACAGCGCTCGTGCTTGGACTCCCCGCAGCTGCTGGTCCGCCTCCTCAGCTGCCTCCGCTTGTGCCGCCGGCAGACGTGCTTCAGGCGCTGCTCCTTGCGATACGTCTGCTCGGAGCAACTGCAATCCGCCTCGGGATCGTTGCCCTGACCATGGCCATTGCCATTCCCGTTCTCATTCCCATTGTCCGAATCGGAGCGCTTTAGATAGACCACGTACTTCTTGGAGCTGCGCAGGTCATGTAGCTCCTCCTTCTCCATATACTTGAGCGGTCTTACCAGGTCAGCTGCATTGGTTTCGTGGAAGGGATTCCCCTTCCCCGTCCTGCGGCTGCTCAGCCGCACCTTGTTGGCCGGCTGCCCGCCATTGGCCTGCAGAAACTTGGCCGTGGAACGGTGGCCCCGCTGAAGTGCTCCATCCAGCGGGGTCAGAACCAAGCCCCGCGAGTTCCTGTAGACGGCATTCACATCCGCCCCATAGTCTAGCAGGAGCTTGCACATGTCCGTGTAATCGTTGGCCGCTGCTATGTGCAGCAGGCTGCGTCCGTCATTGCTGGTAGTATTCACCTGCTTAGGCCGCTGGCTCAGCAGCCACTCGAGCAGCTCCCTTCTCCCGGAGGCGGCAGCTTCGTGCAGCGGCAGGTCACCCTTGGCGTTGCGCAGCCACAGATTAGCGCCGCGCTCCTTCAGAAGCTTCAGAGTCTCGAACTGGCCCTTGGAGCAGCCACAATGGGCGGGAGTGCGTCCCTTGCGATCCTGGCGATTGGGATCCGCTTCCAGGTCCAGCAGTCTGGCTGTGGAATCGGCATGGCCCAAGGTAACCGCATAATGTAGAGCCGTGCAGCCGTTGGAATCGATGAGATCCGTGGGAGCACCACAGAGGCCAATGAGGGTGTCAATGCATTCGGTGTGTCCCCTGGAACCAGCACAGTGCAAGGCGGTAAGTCCATCTCTGAGAGGAAATTAAAATTGAAACAATTAGGATACTTTCATTGGGAAAACCATAAGAAAAACCCACTTATCCGACGACTCCACCCGTGCTCCCGCCTTGACCAGGGCAATCACCGCCTTGGCCGATCCCGCCGAGGCGGCCCACAACAGCGGCTGTCGTCCGTCTTTGTCCTGGACATCGACACTGCTCTGGGGATGTGCCAACAAAATGCCCAGAATTTCGAGGGAGAGACGCGAACTGGTGCCAGAGCTGGCCTGCTGCTTGCTATCGTGGCTGGCACCGCACATCTGGGCAGCATAATGCAGCGGAGTGCCTCCATTGGCGTCCGGCTTGGCCACACTAGCTCCCGCTGCCAGGACGGCACGCAAGGATTCCACCTCGCCGCATACTAGAACGTTGATGGGGAGAAACCAAACAGAGAATTTAATATTTAATATTTTTAAATATTAAATTTATACATTTAATGAATATGTCGATTTATTGGATCTCTTTTTGAGGCTCCTAAAAGCATGCAGTAAAATATTTTACCGCCAATCTGGTGAAAAAATGTGGTTTGTGTGCGGTTAAATGCGTCGAATTCGTTAATAATAAAAATAAAATGTTCAAAAAGTTGCCACAATTAACAAGAGCAGTTTTAAATTCATAAATATTTTGAAATATTTTATTAGCTTATTTGCAAAACTCTGATATTATTTATTTTTGTGGTGCAATTTTTAAAAAACCCAAACCAACAACTTTGTGTTTTCAATAATAAAATCATAAAATCATAAAATCAATGGACGCTCACTTACCCGTGGCCCAGTGCACCACCGAGTGACCCTCGTTGTCCACCGCATTCACGTCGGCCTTGTTGGCCAACAAGAGATTGACCATGGCCAGGTTGCCCTGGATAACGGCCAGGTGGAGCGGCGTGAAGCCATCCTCGTCCGCGGACTCCAGCAGCTCGGGGGCTGCGATGGCGATACTGGCGGCCGCCACGAGGTCAGTGCTCTGGTCAACGTCCTGCGCGGCACAGTAGTGCAGCGCGTTGCGATGGCTTCTGTCCCGCTGCCGCAGCAGTTGGGGCTGTAAACGAAAACCGAAAAGAATAGGATAGAGATTAAAATGGGGAACAGCTTCGTTAAGAGATCGACAATATTAATTATTTTCGCCTGTTAAGGAGAAATTCACGCTGACGGATAAACTAATTAAAATGTCATTTGCATATTGCACTCAATTGCATTCCCCGAACTCACCCTCCCCGAGCCACAGGGCAGTGTTTGATGGACCGGTCCTGGCACAGCCTTAATTGCCGGCAAATAATTTCGTGGAATATAAATGTATGTGTATGCGGTTGTTTATTTAACCGGCCAAGTTGTCGGTGGTTGCCAGCCGGTTGTGGCCTTTGTGCAACTGTCGCCCGTCGACCGAAAAGCAATTATGTTTGCCACATCCCTAGGCGGGCCATCATCAAAAACGCGACGGAAATTGCACAAAAAAAATACAAACAAAAACCGACTGCGTTAATCAATTATAATTATTTCAATTTAAAACAAATTCTTGCGTTAATCATGGCGAAAACCCTTGGAAAAGTCGTGTGCCGCGAACCGCTGTTGGCCAGTAACTAAGCCAACAACAAAGGTAAACAAACGGTTAGCGTCGCGTCGTTGCGTTGCCTGGAAAGTGCAAGTGTCGGCAGGGGCAAAAAGGGTTCCTGGAAGTTGGCAACCGTCGTCATGGGCAACGTGGTGAGTTGCCAAAGCGGCAGCAGGAGTGGGAGCCAGGTGTGTGCTTGGTGTGTGTGGTGTCTTCGAGTTGAGCTCACCAGATTATCGCCAGCATTTTTGGCGCGCAAAACAATATCAAACTCCAGCGGCGAGGCGAACATGGAGGGTGAAGGGCGCTGCGGTGCCAAGGAGCCGAGGAGCCGTGGAGCGTCTAGCGAGGAGCGTGTCAAAACATGTCAAGTGCACAAAAAATACTGTCGCCGCCGCCGAAAAGTATGCTAAAACTTTGCCCCGCTGCTGCCAGGAATTCGCAATGCGACGACAGCGACGCCGACAGAGCCAAAAGCGGCGACGTCAGCAGCAGCAGCGGCACAGCACGCAAATGTGAAAGTGAAAACGTTTGCAAATCGTCGGCCAACGGGGCGGATGATGGCTGGCTTTGCAGGCTGACTGGCACCAGGGCGCTGCCCTGCCGCACTGGAGCCACACAGTTTTTCGTGGGCGGCCACGGGCGCGCTTATTAGGCTTCGCAACTAACTTTTCTTGCGGCATAGTTTGTGCTAATTTCTTTCAGCTCCCACACCTCTTTATGGTTCCACCTTTCGGTCCCAGTCACACGCAAAGAAAATAGATAAATTATAAATATAACAACAAGAAATGTCCTTTTTAAGGCACATTTTGTAGAGCCTTTTGTAGAGCATTGTAAAGCCAAGATACAAAAGGCTAAAAAGCTTTAAAAATAGTAAGGACCTTTCTTAAACATTTAATTAAGTAAATTTGGTGAAACTTACTATTTCTGTTGTTTCTATAAATATTTTATTTTATAAGCTAAATTTTAATTTAAACCAAGCTCTTGGGTACTAACTGCTTACATGAAAACTCCATTTAATTTACATATATGGTGAGTTTAATGACAGAAAACTAAAAAGCTTTTTTGGTGACGCAGTTAAAATCAATAAAGAAATTATTTACAAATTCTGGGCTTTTCATACCTTTTTTAAAACGTGTACAGGTTATTTTAAAGGCCATAACAAAGGTCATAATCCAACAAGTTTATAGCAAAAAATCTATAGAATCTCTTGAATAATACCTTTCTAGATCAATGAATACCCCCAAACTGGATTATTCATATTTCTCCCTGTGGATCTAGTGTTTATCTTGTCAGTGGGGCCGAGTGATTGACTGTGTTGCTTTTCTAACCAACATTCAATTTCTGCAAACAGTTCGGGCACGCTGGCTTTCTATTTATACCGGGTTATCGCGTGACTCTAGTAAAACTGTCGTGCGACGAGTGGAGGCCAGCTCTCACCTGGAATACCCCACCGAGGGGAAGTGCTCAATTTATTGCACATTTAAGCATGAGTCAAACAAGAGTTCGATAGCTATAGAAAGTAAGGCGAAACTCGGCTCTTGTGGCAGGAACAAGCAACTGAGAGCGCGGAAAGTAAACTTTCGCTATTAGGCATTTGCGTGTTGCAGGGGCGCCCTCCAAGGGGGGGGCCATAGCAAGCAGGACAAGGGCTTCTTAAGGCCATAGGACTGCATGGCTCAACAGGTGAATTTTGGGGCAGACCCAAAAAGTTCACTCTACGAAAGTTAAATATTTAATGTTTCACTTAATTTACAGTTTGCGTAGAAATCTGGTAAGGGTCCATTCCTGGGTTTTTCACATTTCGCTGTTGATTGAATCGAATTTCAGTTGCGGTTTCGTTTTCCATTTCCATTTCCCCTTTCCCTTTGCGTATTTGCGAGGCGAAAATGTTTACAATGAATGATTTTTATTTGCTGCTTCCGTTATCTGCGGGCTGCTTTTCCGAAGGCCCTGCTGTTTGTTTCTTACTGCGCAAGGACCTTCGCCGGATTATGAATAATTCAAATAAACTGAAATGATACCTAAAAACTTTGACAGCCAGTTTCCCCCTACCCCTCTTCCATTCATTGGTGCCTGCTGCTGCTTGTGGGGTAGAAAAACAAAAAAGGACCCGGGAATAAAGTTCCCCCTGCCGCTGCTGTTGCTCTGGCTGCTTTGTTATTATTATGATGATGCTTGGTGTGATTGTTGCCGTATTCCTTTGCTCCCCCACCACCACCACCATCATCATCATCATCATCGTCGTTGTTGTTGTCCCCCAGCATCCAGCCAGCCAGCCACTGGCCGCTTCTGTTGGTGTCATGCAAATTTGCATTCAACTTTCTACATTCACCCGACACAAAATGAAATGCGATAATCAAATACGAGCAACAACAATGCGCTCAAAAGGCAGCGCCAGCAACACAGGACTGCCAGGAGGGCGGGCGAGGGGAGGTCAGTCCCTCCATCGTGGCCAAGATAAAACTTTTGGCGCTGGCAGTCCAGTTGGCCCACCAATGGCCCGGCACTGGGCGATTGCCATCGCTGCTGTCGCTGTTGCTGCTGCCATTCGAGTTCCTGTTTATGCCATTTTAATAGTTCTTTAAACAAATAAAACGTGCCCAGGCCACGCAGAAAAATGAGGCCACCAGGGTACTGCAACTGGCATAAAAGCCATATCAACGAACGAGGTTCAACACCTACAACCAATGCAAATTATTACCTGTGAGTTTATATTCATTCAATCACGGGGTATTTTGTGGTACTATATAAATCGGTAGTGGCTTGTTATCACTTTCAAGAGTGTCTACAATTTATTTTATTTCTGCTTTTCTTGTAAAACAAATATTTTTGAAGGAAAAATGTAATTAAAAAAAATCGAATATAGATTTTTCCACATAAAGCTAACATTAATAATTAACCGCTTTAAATACATACATATTTGCCTGTGTAAGTTATCTTTTAAAAGCTCTTTTATATTTTGTAATCAAAGAGAGTCATTTATAAAACAAATTATTACAATAAAGGCACCCATAGTGTTACAGCTCTTACAACTTTATTATATTTTTCCTAGTGGCAGATGAAGGCTAGAAGGCAACTGGCATTTATTTATTCATTATAATAACCACTCGCACGATATGGCCGGTTATAAACGAAGAAAAACTCTTCAGCTAGTCCAACTGGGTCAGGTTATCTCACTTTTAGTTTCGCCAGATTAATGGCAAATGAGCTACAAAACAACACAAAAGGTGAGCATTAAAAAGCACGAGTCAGGATTTATGGCAGCCGTCCAGCAAGTGCAGGAGCAGCAGGAGCAACAGTTAGGCTGGCAAGGACATAAAATTTCGTTTCGCATTTTACGATTCCTCATTTCGGCCGTGTGCTACCTTGAATCCCTTTGCCAGTCCTAAGCCGGCATACGTATGCACGTGTTTGGGGCCGGCTCTGCCTTTAAGAGCTTCCGGGCATGCCGAAAAGACAACAAAACTTAAAACTTCCTTTGGGTTTTTACACACCCAACACTCACCTCCTTCGGTGATATCCCTGCCGGCATTCGGGGCTTAAGGGGCGCTCAGATTTATATGGCAGTCGTATGAAAACTGGATCTGCCCGGAACAGAGGAAAACAATTTGCGTAGCTCTCGAAAGGAGATATAAAGATATCAAATATTCGACCACTGTCTCGTGTCCAGCCCCCGGCATTTGCATAACTGAAGCGACAACAGTTGTCGTCAAAGGACGAGGCCCGGAATGTCTCGCAGGATACTCTCGAAATCTGAGCCTCAAACGGAGTGTGCGTGTGGTCAGCAGTCGCGCTGTGGCCGGGCTTATTATTCATATATCGTAAGCCATTAGCATAACAATGAGAATGAGCATGAGAGGAAGCTGGTCACAGAAGTCATAGGACGTTCTACTCCTTCGGGTGACGCATACGCCGTGTGGCACGGCAGCCACAGGACAGGGGGTCTCCGCTGTTTACACCCAGGAAGTGCGTACAAATATAAATAAAGCATAAATAATAATGAAAGACGACGCAGCCGCCACAACAATAACGACGAGGACTCCTTGCCACACAGTTACATGATAATGCATAAAAAATAAAATACATGCATGGCCTGAAAGCCATGAAAGGGCACAAATGCCAAATGGCAACTGGCATCTGAGGTGGCGGCGGGTAGGGACTGGAGTAAGGATTCGACTTAACGCTTCGTTGGGCAGCACATCCGCCATAATTATGTGCGACGCGTCGGGAGAATGGCACATTAAAAGGCTGAAGGAGCAACCCGAAAACGGGGTGCTGGCAAGAGCATCAGCAGCAGCAGGAGATTCGCTCACAGCACGTCTCTTCCAGCAGGATAACCCCTGGTCGGGAGCCCAAATACCGGAAACTCCTCGACAGGCGCCTCTAGGTCGCCCCCGTCTGCGGCTGCTTAAGATGTCAAGTGACCACAGGGCATAGAAGCCACAGCACTAGGAAGACCCGACCAGCCGCCCTCAATGGCAAATTTA